GTGTCAAATTGTTTTACAAATCTAAAGTAACCGCGGTGTCTACCATCGAAGAAGGGGAGTTCAACCTTTGGCAACTCTAAGCCAACTACTGGTGTCCTTGGCCTCAACTCCTTCCCAGATACCTCTAAGTCCTCGTCCAATCCTCGTTCCTTAGTACCCTCCAATAGTGACTTACAACAATGAGTACTAAACATAATATCGTCCTTACTAGAGAGTGAACCTTTTAAAAATGAAGTTTAATAAGGGACTTGCCTTATACCCCGCGATTCTTTAAGGACTCCATTTCTCTTCGTGTTTGCTTTCTTTCAAGAACTCATGATCAACTGAAACTCAACGGAAAGGAAATAAGAAGGACCAAATATAAAATTTCACCAGCAAAGCTTCTTCGTCAATGAGAATTCCAAAAATACCAAAAGATCGTTTTCCGAAATACAGTCTAAACAAAATAAATGATAAGTAATCCAAACGTTCTTCTTCCAGGAATTGTTTTGAGATTGTAAACGATAAAAGTTCCAAGGGTTTCTTTTTTCTTCATTATTGTTTGGACTGTAAATGGATTTTCTACTCTAACAGTTCATTCTGGCTCCAATAGGTGCAGTTTGATACGCGTATGCCCAGATCCGAAATAAAAACACAATAATTCTGGGAGAAAACGGTCCTATTAATCAATAAAATGGAAATACAGACAACTACCAAACATTATTACACCTTCTAGTTCCAATTTACCGCGGTGGGTATCCGTTTCTGGAAGAATAAGTGCTTCCAGTCCGTACTGTTGAAGTATCAAATCCAAATATGGCTGTAGCCATATTAAATATCAAATTCAAACAACATATGTACAGTTCAGAAGCAAACATAAAAACTTCAACATAAGTACAGGATATAGAAATAATAACAATATACAATGATAAAATCTCAAAATGGAATCAAATATAGTACCAAAATGTCAACAGAAAGAGTCAGTCATATCATAGCAAAAATATGTAAACATGGAGGGATTTTCCAAATAACATAACATTCAAAATAGATTCTACACCGACCTTGAGATAGTTTCTACTGACACTGGTGGTTTTACATTTCGTGGTTTTTGTCTTTATACTTAGACTGCATTTTACGATATCACAACTACTACCTAAGAAATCTCTTCAGCAATAGACAGCATCGAGGATTAGGTTGCTGTGGAAAACTTAATGCAAAATATTGGGGTTATTACCATATTCAGCACACTCTGAAAGCCCTAGGATTTCGAAAAATGACTGTAAGCGTTTTCGTGCTCTGACTGATAACCAAGACATTTCAGCTACGTTGAAGTTGCCGGGAATAACCGTACCTGTTAACGAAAAGGGTGAATCTGTTGTGTACAACTCGGACTAGGGGTGTATCTAAGGCTTTCATAGTTATCATTAACTTACATGTTCAGAAGTTGACTAGTTGTTCTAACTACCAGTCGTGAAATTTAGAGAGACCAGGGGTACATTAAGTGATTACGGAGATAAAAATGTGTTCTGTGTCATTATTTCATGTATGATCACTCTATCCAAACTCTTCTTTTTTCCATGAAATTTATATCATTCTTATGAATGGGATGATCAAATCACAGTAAGTCTATATTTTTGGTTTAGCATCTTTATTCTATCGGCTTAGGCATTAGGTTCTCTGGAATAGCGGTTGGATTCACCTGAATAATTAACACAAGATATATTTATGTCAGAAGACTTTCTCGGTTACTCGGAAATATTTATATATGTTGTATATGAATAATATGTTTGTGGTTCTACAACAAATTGTAATTAATTAAAATCAAGCTTACATTCAAGGGAATGAGAAAACAATAACAGTCAATCTTGAAATATCCCAAACCGAAAATTACAAGATCAAAATGGCTATCTAAGCAAAATATGTTCTATCCAATAAGAAAATTGTGTATTTGTCAATAAGTAACTCAACCAGTAAAATACAAGATAACAGCGATGAACCCTGACTGCTAATATGTATTGCGACTATAAACGAGAATTTGCAATAGATCTGTGCGCTCATACGAACCAACAACTAAATCCTACACTTTCACAATTAAGAAAAATGCTCTTTAAACAAAATAACAGGTCAGCTTTCGGTTGGTACTTTACTCCTGCAGTGAATTGAGTCTTATATTCTCGACAATTTCTTCAAAGTAGGAGTAACCTGTGTTAGAAATGTAAATGATTCACCATCAAACGTCTGCTGATGATGAAATACCGATTATGGCAAATTCTATAGAAGAAGGCTTTAAGAAAGTTCTGACATGTAATTCGTAGTAAAGGATATATTATTTGCCCTTCAAACTCGTCGATCTAAATATCCAATGACTGGTAGCTTATATGCTGTTTTAATGATCGTCAAATCGATATTACAAACATCTAGATGAATCAGAAATGCTTCTATTAGTGTATTAAAAAATGCTATTATGTGAAATTTTCGGTACATTGCTGACCACTACTGAATTTGGCGTGAAGGAAGAGTCAACCAACAAACTACAATGGACTATAATTACGATCAGAACTGTCCTGTTCAAATTCAGCACACAAATGAAAATTAGATCACAAACACCGAATATTTTACATCCACTTATGTAAACATGAACGCACTAAAAGCAGGTCTCGCAAAGAACCACCTTCATTCTGAATAATGTGACAGCCACATTGTTCAATTGACGTCCGTAATAAATATTTGATTTGTTGTTCCGTCATGTTGAAAATTATCCTGTCTCATTCGTTCACCGAAAAAGTCTGGAATAAACGAAAAAACGTTAAAAATTGAGATTTTTACCTTTCAGAATATGGTCAGTTGATCATCATGCTTATTTATCACATTTAGTTAAACATGTTTCTACTTGTAGACAGCCTCCAACTGCGTATTTAGTCGGACTGATTGAAACTGTCTTAGGTGTATAAAGTGGAGAAAGTAAGTGTACCCACTTCTTTTTATAGCACATAGTCCCTCAAAACAAGCTTAGACAGAGGTCTTTGTACTTATCAAGTTTTCAAAAGAGTAGTTAATGATAACAAATTCACGGGTAGCATCTAAGGTTTATCAAGGACTCATCTTGAGATAGTAAGCTCAAGCTGTAGCTAACTTCTTAAAGCAATTACTTTTAGAAGAATCACTCATTGTTATTGAACTGTTCAATTTTAATGGTCAACTTTGGTCGATACCTCAGGTCATGCATCGTAGTCACACATGTGTAAAATGTCCTCAATTTTTTCATACACTCAATTACACAATACGAATTCCATGTAAATCTTCTACCCATCCCTAATCTTCTTCTTTGTTTGGCTTCTGGATACAGTTTTTGAAGAATTCTGATGGTGACACTATCAGCTTGCATATTCAAGAAGAAGGTTGAGGGAACTTTTCATCGCATCTGTAATTTCACCCAATAACTTCCAACCAATCAGGTTACACAAAAGAAAGTGTGTTGAACAGAGAATAAGTCAAAAAATTTTCTTCTGATGGCTAACCGAATAACCGAGACAATAAATTACGGGTGGTTATCCAGACGGGTAATCCATTTAAACGCAGTAGGCCACACAGAATATTCTACTTCCGTCTTGTAGTCATACGGAGACCTGTTTCGTTACCCATCGGATTTAATTATCCCACAAACAAAAACGGCTCTCATTTTGTTGGGATTTGTCCACAATATTTCTATGTTACCTACATATCATCTTAATTTCATGTTAATTTCCTATCTACTGCATTCATTACTGTATATGACCAAAGTTATAGTGTAAAACAAATCACAGATTCCCAGTTTCTCCCACTGCTTTTTCTCTCAAATATTCTTACAAGCACTAAATCGGACATCCACACTGTATGTTAATAAATTCCAGGCTACAGTTAGGTGCAAGATATACCAACAATTAAAAATTCTCAGTATATATATATATATATATATATATATATATATATATATATGCTCTGACATGTCTTTCAAAATTCCTATGATCAAAACAGTATTGATATTACTTTCATATGTTTTACGGAGAAGACCAGTGTTTCAGCTTTCATTTGTAGAATATTTATGACAGAAATTCGATTGAAGCATACATAAATCAACAGCTACATCCTGATGATACAAAATATGGGGGAAAAAATCAATTCCTGAAAAGACTATCCGACAATTTTTGGATCTATTATATCATAGTACTCATAAAAAATTTGTCCAACTACGATGAGGCGCAGGTATAGCCTAGGGTACCACGAGTGTTTAGTGGTGACCGAATCGAGATTGATTATGATAACCACTAAACACTAATCACTATCCCGTCACCAAAATAAGAAATAAATCTAGGATAAAGAAAATATGTTAAGGGGAAAGTGGGCGATAGAGTGGACAGCAAGTTACGAAGGGTAGCAGCAACGCGAAAAAAGAATGTTGTGCATAAGTAAGTGTCTGTAGTACAGTTAAACGAAACTAGTACAATAGAAAACATTTTCTTTTCACTAATTGCATTTACTTCGTAGAAGTGTTTCACTACAAGTGTTTAGAAATTGAGAATATCCCGAAAACGTGAAAAAAATGCGACTGCGAATTCATAAGTGATTGTTATCTATGAGTTATTTGCCGAACTATTCCTTGCAGAGCATTTTTGTAAACTACATCTAGTACAGTTATAGGTATGAACGTGTTCCTTAGCGGACATGTTGTTTTGAAGAACGATACTGGAATGGCATTAGACCTGAGTGAAGTTTGAGGAATCAACAGCTGTTAGGTGAAAGATACGTTTACATTCAGCAAAAAACCTGGAAGAAAATGGTAATGAACTTTGTTTGAAATTCTTTATAAATTCTGTGTAAGTGCTAGGGAAAATCCCAACTGAAAATACCTACGAACAAACCTCAAACGTGAGAAACTTTGAATCCCATTTCTCCCAAAACCCTCACTTATTGAAGCATTTCCCCAAATCTGAGAGAATGAATATGAATCACTGTGCACTGAAGTCCGTTAAACAGTTGAAATGTGATAGTATTGAATATTGGATATCTGGAGTAGCGCTAGTTCGCATCAGGAGTTACGTTCCAAGAGTTAGACATTTCATGGAATCAACTGAAACAGAACCTAAAAAGTCAAATAAACCTAAAGGTATTGCCGAAAGCTATTAGCTAGTGTTTTTCTTCAGATACGCGCTTCCATCAGCAACGTCTTAAGTCATGGAGACCAATTTTAACTGCTAGAAATGCGTTCCCAATATTTCTTGCTATTGGTTTATTATCCATACCAGTGGGTATAGTGTTGCTTACATTCTCCAATAGCGTAGGTTATTTCGTTTTCTTACTTTGGTAAGGTTTTAGAAGTGGTTATAGAGTATACTCATTGTGAAGACACCATACGCCACACTCGATGTTCTGAGTTGGTTAGGCTTCCAGATTTCTATAGGACATACAATATATGTTCATGTAAAGTTGATTTCGAACTTAAGGAAGATTTCAAGGTAAATATTTTTGGAATTTATACCGTTCAAACGGGTGTTTACTAATTACAAAGTAGGACTGGTCTCTTAGTGTCTTGTTTTCTATAAATACTGACCCATCCGACCCAAAAGAATTCATTTCAAATTAATTTTTTCACTGCTCTTGTAAAGGGGTGTTAGCTGCGCTGTCACTCTAAATTTTGGAGTAGTTCTTCCTATTCATTATTAGGAACTATGGATGTTCATCATTCATCTAACGACAAAAGTTTACCTGTTTCATTGCTTCCATCAGTGTTTTCTCCAACAGTTTTGTTGACAAAAGCCCAGTGTCGATACGGGGATTTTTTCCGTACATACTGTTGCGTGCATATTTGGTGTTTCCGGCAGTGACCGTACGTGGGAGTCGAACCCAGGATCTTCGGCCTCGCGCGTGAACTCTTAACCGCTAGACCACTCAGCCGGTATCCTACGGTGTTAATTTTTAACTTAATGCTATCCACGACTTTGCGTGACCTCATCCACTGTCTTCATTGTTTTGACTTACTAGTATAACCAAATAGTCACGCTAACGTGAATAGCCGGTACTCATTGGATCTACTTCAGTTGTTACCCGACCGTAGCTGCTACCTTGACGTGGTGGTTGGGCTTGCCTATGGTCATGACCCAACCGAGCTATACTGGCTGGAACATATGTCTCTGCAGGTTCTACCATGCCAGGCAGGTCGATTGGAGAACGATGAGACTAAAAGCAGCTACGCAATGTCTGAGGGCGAAGTCGTACTGCTGACTGCAGAGAGGTCAGAGTCAGTCAGATGCAACGTAGAACTTCGTACGTATGTACATCAGTTGATGTTGCCATACCACATCAGCACAGAGATATAATTGTCAATTCAAATCCAATAGTAGAAGAGGTAGTAAAGGTATTAGAAGTAATCAGAGAGGTAGGATTAGAAGATATTTAAGAAATATGATTCAGCGAGAAAAGTTTATAAAATCAAAACTAGAGGGGTTGAAGAATCGTTTGCATTAGCGGTGCAGTCAGATAAGGCAATGTGAGTAGAGTTAGTTGTGGAGAGAAGAGAGGTATGTGTGGGTGTAGGAAGGATATGATTTCGACCAATTTTGTCTCGTGTGCTGTTACGGGTATGAGGGTGGTTGTCACTTCCCGGCTGCCCACACCGTAGAAGGTTGTTTCTTGAGGGACCTGAAAAGGAAGGTAGATTAGTGTTGGTCTTAGAGATCTGGGTACGTGACCGCAGAGTCCAAGGGACAGTACGACTTCGCCCTCAGACCTTGCCTAGCTGCTTTTAGTCTCATCGTTCTCCAATCGACCTGCCTGGCATGGTAGAACCTGCAGAGACATATGTTCCAGCCAGTATAGCTCGGTTGGGTCATGACCATAGGCAAGCCCAACCACCACGTCAAGGTAGCAGCTACGGTCGGGGACTGCAGAGGAGCGTGACAGCAGTAAGGTGTTTCCCTCGGACAACCAGCATCTGCAGCGATGCTGCCTTCTCACAAGGAAGGAAGGGTTAGAAAAGGTCGGCCCTAAAAATGTCACACCTCACCCTACCTCACGGATTCCCCTCTCCGTCGGTAAGGGTGCCCACCAAGGGCCTTTAAGAACGGAGCTAATCCTCAAAAACCCTTTCATAAAAAGGCCGTGCGTGACCGGCCTCAAGTAGTTGTCCCCTGGGTTAGGGTTAGGGTCTGCGGTCACGCACCCAGATCTCTAAGACCGACACTAATCTATTTTCCTTTTCAGGTTCCTCAAGAAACACCCTTCCACGGTGTGGGCAGCCGGGAAGTGACTACCGCTCTCATACCCGTAACATCACGCGAGACCAAATTGGTCAAAATCAAATCCTTCCTACACCCTCTATTATCTCCTAACTTCTTTGTCACAATGCACAGCTAATGCAAACGATGCGGGTTCACGAAACGTCATTCCCGGTCTCTTGAAACCTCACTCTAGACTACATATTGGAGCATTTAATGTACGTACATTGTGTCAAGTAAGGCAACAGGCATCATTAGCTAGGCCTTTAGAATCTCGTGAGATCGATGTACGCTGCGTCTCGGAAACACGCATACAGTATCCTAGTAAAGTTATTAATTTGATTTCACCTTACCAGAATAAAGAAGCAGCTCGATTTACTCTTCGTGTATCCGGTAGCCCTGATGCTGCTTCCAGGGGTCTTGCTGGCGTAGGCATCGCATTGAGTCGTAGAGCTGAACAATCTCTCCTTGACTGGATCCCAGTAGATAGTCGCTTATGCGCTGTCCGACTGAATAGGACAGTAAGGACTTGGAAGGATAGGGACACGCCGTTGCCTCTTCGTCATATCTGCCTACGCTCCCACTGATTGCAGTTCAGACGAGGTGGAAGATGAATTCTATGGAAAGCTTTCGAACCTCCTGCAAAAAGTTAGGCGCTCAGATATAGTAATAGTGGCTGGTGACTTTAATGCTCAAGTAGGTAGACTAAGTGAAAATGAAAGACACCTAGGTGGATGTTATGGCGTCGCGGCTCAGAGGAACAGACAATGGTGACCGTCTGTTGCAAGTATGCTCAGACAACCGCCTATTCTTAGTAAACACTAACTTTAGGCATAAGGAAAAGCATCTGTTGACCTGGCGACCTCCAAAGTCGTCTCAACGTTGGACCCAACTAGACCACATTGCCATCAACAACCGATGGAGAGGTTCGATCGAGGACTGTCGCTCGTTCTGGGGCACATGTTTAGATTCAGATCATGTTCTAGTGCGAGCGCGTATTCGTTTGAAGCTTACTGGGTGTAGGAAAGACACCGTAAGAAAGCCTCTTAGGGTTTTACTTAATGATAATAGGGTGAAGTATATATTTCAAGAACAACTAGAAAGAGAGTTAGGCGACCATGTAAGTGATTCCCATCCGTAGGCAGGTTGGTATGATATCAAAAAGGCTGTGGAAACAGCAGTGATATCTGCTAGTAAGGTAAACCACAAGCCTAGAATGAAGCCGTGGATTTCAGTCGCATCCACCGATCTGTTGGATGCCCGAAAACGAAGTCAGCTTAAGCGCAGGCTGGTAAAAAGCCTACGCAATGATCGCGAACAGTAGTGGGTGGCGAAAGCGATGCAAAAGGCAGCGGCGACAACTTTTCCGACTTATCAAGGAAACTGGTATTGGAAACCCAAGTGTGAGTGAGACTATTTCGGATAAGGATGGTCTTATTATCCATTCTCAATCCAGGAGACTGGACCGATGGGCAGAACACTTTAGGGATCAGTTCAACTGGCCTTCACCCACACTTCGGTCGCCTACGATCTCCAGTCATCCTGGATGGGAAACCGACATAAGTCCCCCTAGTCTTTATGAAGTTGAGAAGGCGTTAGGAAATCGGAAGCGAGGGCGAGCTGCAGGTCCTGATAGACTGACCCTTGAGATATTAATGGATGGTGGTCCAGTTTTAGCACCTAGGTTGACCCAGATATTAGGTAGAATCTGGGAACTGGACGTAATCCCATCCGACTGGTCTCAGTCACTGATTGTCCCAATCTATGAGAAAGGACAAAAGTCCTCTTATGACAATCACAGGGGAATAAGTCTAACTAATATAGTATCTAAAATTTTGGCCTCAATAATACTTCGGCGCTTAACGAAAGCTCGTGAAGAGCAAACTCGAGAAAACCAATCTGGTTTTCGACCTGGACGTGGTTGTATAGACCATATTTTCACACTACGACAGGTCCAGGAACACAGACACACATTTAGGCGTCCTACAATAGTTGTTTTCCTGGACCTTAAGGCGGCATTCGACTCAGTGGACCGTGGGGTTCTGCCGCAATATCTGTCATTGAAAGGTGTACCAAAGAAGTACATTAACCTTGTACAAGCTCTCTACTCGAACACCACTGGTCGAGTGAGAGTTTATGGCGAACTGTCACCGGAATTCTTTACGTCAACTGGTGTCGTCAAGGATGTCCACTCTCCCCATTCTTGTTTAATTTTATCATAGACATGCTCTTAGAAATAACCTTATCCTCGTTTGAATTTTCAGGAGTAGACTTTACCAGGTGGCTCGCTTATTGACTTAGAATATGCCGATGGCATAGTCCTACTTGGTGAAGACGCTGACGAAATGCAGTCTTCTGATTACCCTAAGCAACAATGCAAGCATGTTCGGGATGCGGTTCTCACCCTCGAAATGCGAAATGTTGCTTCAAGATTGGGTTGCATCGGCACTTGAACTGGTGATAGGGAGTGAACTATAGTCGAGCGTGTAGACCGCTTCACTTAATTGGGGAGTCTCATCAGTGCCGATGGCCTGGTGACTGACGAAATCTCAACTCGGATACACAAGACTCGATTTGCTTTTGCCAACCTGCGTCACTTATGGCGGAGGCGAGATATACGTTCGCTGACTAAGAGACGAGTACTGCGCAGTAGTTCGCGCCGTCTTACTTTATGGCTGTGAAACATGGCCAGTGAGAGTAGAAGATATTCGTCGGTTACTGGTTTTCGATCATAGGTGTCTTCGAAGCATTGCTCGTATATCGTGGGACACCCCAGTGAGCGACGCTGTTATTAGGAAACGGGTGCTAGGTAAGAATGGCAGATCAATAGATAAAGTGCTGAAACTTCATCGGTTGAGGTGCTGCGTATGCCTAACCACCGACTGCCTCGTCGAGCTTTGTTTTGTAGTGTAGGAGTAGGTTGGAAGAAAGTTAGGGGCGGCCAAACCTAAATATGGCAGAAATCCATGAAATCACTGACGAGTGGACTTAGCCATGTCGGTAATTGTCGACTACCTGGTTGCGGTCCACGAGATGATAATAATCGATGGTTAGAAACCTTGAATGACATGTCTGACAATCGTTCGCAATGGCGCCAGTGTATTTATTCTTTATGTTCTCTCAAATCCTAATCTTCTGTATTCTTCAACCCCTCTAGTTTTGATTTTATAAACTTTTCTCACTGAATCATATTTCTTAAATATCTTCTAATCCTACCTCTCTGATTACTTCTAATACCTTTACTACCTCTTCTACTATTGGATTTGAATTGACAATTATATCTCTGTGCTGATGTGGTATGGCAACATCAACTGATGTACTTACGTACGAAGTTCTACGTTGCATCTGGCTGACTTCAGTTGTTATATATAGACATTTTTGTTGCCTAAGTGATTAGTAATCTAATAATTACATAAAATTTATTTACTCGCATTATCCTACCACCATAACAGTAGTTATCATATATCAGTTAGTTTTCTAGTATTTCAATTCGTTCTTATTATAGTTAATAAATAGCGACACTGTGTTCAACGTTGCACATCTAGTTAATCGTAGTTGAGTAACGTACAATCTTATTGTATTAGGTGCCAACATGGAAAAATTAAAAGTAAGCTTGTATGTTACTGGGTTTCACTAGTTTTTTAGTCATCGCGTTGGTTAATCGTCAGAACAAATCCTGTAATCTCATTCTTATCCTTCACCGTATGGAAAGTTGAGTGTTCGAAATGTTTACATTTCTGAGAGAAATCATCTCCAACCTGTTTACCATCAGTCTGTTTTCTCTCTATACGCCACAACTCTCTGTTAAAGGTTTTTTTTCACCAACCATAATTACCCTCTCAAGTGGTGGTACCATTACCAACGAGCTCAACACATCTAAAATTCTAAATATCGCTCTGAACTAAATATTTACGTCCAACAACAAAATTCAGTAAATAGAAGTCCGAAATCACCTGCTATAGATGCTGTAGGCTTGTTCCGAAAACCCAGGAAAGACAAGTTTTATTGTTCTCCTAACTTCATTTGTTATAATTTATGAGACCCTAATATCTGTGGTCACCAAATCTCTAACAGGGTTATAAACAAATTAACCTAATAAAGTACGTTCATGGCTTGAATAAACAGGAGTTGACCAAATGTTTATATCTTGTCTGACATTTTAAGTTTAGCGTCAAATTTATCTTATCCAGAGATTGTCTTCACCTTATCCGAAATTATGTGTATCCTTATTTGTCTAGTAAATAAATAACATTGTACATAATTATTTTCTTATCTAAGGGTCAAGTCTATTTTTACTATGGCCTGTCAAACTTCTTCCAAAATCATCGCCGGTATGTCATATCTAAGGATGATTATCAGTTGCATGGTTCAGTGGAAACTCCAAAACCAAGTTGTGAACCGTACCGATTTGATCCCAATGGTAAAGTCTATGCTCCATGTGGAGCTATTGCAATGAGTTTATTTAATGGTAAGTTTAATACTGTTCTTCTTCACACTCGATAAATTTCCGAAATCTGATATGATGGTAATAATAGTAATATAATATATTGTATATTCTCCTACGAATTACGATTATCTATCATTCCTAACCAATGCTGTTATTTATACTTATTCACGCATATAAAGTGATGGCCTAATGTTTATCTTGATATTCGGTATGAGTTTAAAAAAGCACTGTGAACTGCATTGTTTGTATAGTTAAATATTACTAATCGTTAACATTTTGAAGCCTGACCTACCTACCCAATTTTATACAACTGAGCTACTATATCCAAAAAGAAGGCTCATAATCTAATATGTGAACCTTAAGAAGGTTCATGAACTACATAATTTTAAGGGTTTATACTAGCCAAGAAATAAAAAGGCTATGAGTCATTTAAGTTTTTGTCAACTCAAATATATGTAGTAAATTCTTTTGAAATCACTATTTAAGAAGGATGAGATATCATATGTTCCGAAAATCTACTGCCAAGAAATGGACTGTGACATGAAAACTGATTTTCTTATAATCAGATTATAAAGCTAAATTAGTGTGATCTGACCGATAAAGATAATCGCTGCAGGCATCATAGTTCTGAAAATTCTGGGAAAAGACTATTAACGAGTTTTGTAAAATGACGTGTACTAGCTAGTGACAAGAGCTGCAGAAATCCAAAAGCTAGTTACTTTATCTTCTGTAGACATCATATATTCTTTTGGAAATAATAAATTATGTGCATCGACCTATAGTCACACATTCCACCTAGTTACTAGGTTGCTGGGAACACGTCTTGTAGCCATAGCGATTGATCTTCTGTGTCATTTATAACTACATAACTCGAGTTTGCCCACGAAGTTGATTTTAAACGTATTCAGTTTTATCATGAGCCTCCAATCGTATTTCCAGAAATAGTTACTCGTTTCCAGATGTTTGGGCTTACCAACTTTAAAATCTAATCATAAGAACCCTCGGCACTGACTAATTGTTGTAGATTCGTTATTAATATGGTTGAGAAGGTTGGCAACTTATGTTCATCAATCAGTCAGTCACGCGTATGAGGGCGGATGTCACTTCCCGTGAAAGGGTGTTCCTTGAGGAACCTGAAAAATAAGGTAGATTAGTGTTGGTCTTAACGACCTGACAGCGTGACCGCCGAGTCCAAGCGACAACTGCTTGCGGCTCGTCACGTACGGCCTTTTTATGAAAGGTTTTTTGAGTATTAGCTCGGCTCTTTTTAAAAGCTCTTACCGCCGGAGACGGAAATCCCTGGAGTAAAGTGAGGTGTGACATTTTTAGGATTGACCTTTTCCAAACCTTCCTTCCTTGTGAGAAGGAAGCATCGCTGCAGATGCTGGTTGTCCGAGGGAAACACCTTATGCTGTCACACCCCTCTGCAGTCAGCAGTACGATTTCGCCCTCAGATCTTGAGTAGCCGCTTTTAGTCTCATCATTCTCCATCGACCTGCCTGGCATGGTAGAACCATCAGGAACATAGGTTCCGGCCAATATAGCTCGATTTGGTCATCACGATAGTCAAGCCCGACCACCACGTCAAGGTAGCAGCTACGGACGGGACGTAAATTCATACTGGTGGCCTGGTCGTTGACAAAATGCCGACTCATTATTTTGCTCACTTATGAAACTCTAAAGACACTATTATTAAAAACCGTTGAAAGAAACAGAAGTACACTCGTAGGTTAGACGAATCTGATCTATTTAGGTTTTTCGTGCCAGTCAGTCTGTCAAGCAGTTACAGCGTAGGACTTCGTACGTAAGAATATCAGTTCAAGTTGCCATACCACAGTAGCACAGAGACGCAATAGTTAATTCAAATCTAATAGTAGTAGAAGCATTAAGGATATTATTCAAGAAGTATCACGGGGCCGATGCCTCTTCTGACAACCAGAGCAACCATTCTTTTAGGTACATAGAACGTTCGTATATTGTGGGAGACTGGAAGATTATTTCAAGTTGCGGCAGAAATGAAAAGATACAACCTCGAGGTGCTCGGCATCAGTGAAACGCATCGGACACAGGTAGGACAACTGAGACTAGCTTCAGAGGAACTGCTGTTATACTCTGGTCATGAAGAGGAAAATGCTTCACGTACACAAGGAGTTGCACTGATACTGTCCAAACATACACAAAAGGCACTGATAGGATGGGAATCTCATGGTCCCAGGATTATTAAAGCATCCTTCAAAACAAAGAAAGAGGACATTACAATGAACTTCATCCAATCTTATGCACCTATCAATGACTACAATGACGACGTTAAAGATCAATTCTACGAGAGGCTGCAGTCAATCGTTGAGAAATTCTGACCAAAGGATTTGACGATTCTTATGGGAGACCTGAATGCGAAGGTTGGAATGGACAATACTGGATATGAAGACATCATGGGACGACATGGACTGGGAGAAAGAAACGGAAACGGTGAGAGATTTGCAAACCTATGTGCCTTCAACAAACTGGTCATCAGTGGCACAATATTCCCGCACAAACGCATACACAAAGCCACATGAATTTCACCGGACCACACTACTCAAAACCAAATTGACCACATTTGTATCAACAAAACGTTCAGAAGGACCATGGAGGTTGTGCGAACCAAGAGAGGAGCCGATATAGCCTCAGATCACCACTTGCTGATCGACAAAATGAAACTGAGACTCAAAAAGCATTGGACAACGGGGCAGTCAACATCACAGAAGTTTAATACGGCCTTCGGGTTACTGTAAAGCTCAACGAATTCAGGATAGCCCTCACCAATAGGTTCCAGGCCTTTCAGGATCTACTGAATGGAGAGGAAGCAACCATGGAGAACAATTGGAAAGGGATTAAGGAGGCAATCACTTCAATATGTCACGAAGTTCTGGGTCACAAGAAGTACCATCACAAGGAATGGATCTCTGTTGATACTCTTGCAAAAATTGAAGAAAGGACGAACAAGAGGGCAGCAATCAATGTCACTCGAAAAAGAGAAGAGAAAGTTAAGGCAAAAGCACAGAAGCAAATAGGATAGCTAAGAAGAGCATCAGAGCTGAAAGACGAAAATATATGGAAGATCTAGCAATGACGGCGAAAAAAGGTGCAAGAGACGGAAACTGGAGACAATTGTACGAAACAACAAAGAAGCTGGCCGGGAACTATCGTAAACCAGAACGACCAGTGAAAAGCAAGGAAGGCAAAGTAATCAGCAACACTAAAGAACAGCGAAATAGGTGGGTAGAGCACTTTAAGGAACTCTTGAGTCGACCAGCTCCACTGAACCCACTCAACGTCGAAGCAGTATCTGCGGACCTCCTAATCGATGTTGGCCCACCTACGATTGAGGAGATCAGTATGGCCATCAGACAAATCAAGAGCGGCAAAGCAGCAGGACCAGACAACATTCCAGCAGAGGCAATGAAAGCAGATGTAGAAGCAACTGCGAAAATATTTCACATTCTCTTCAAGAAGATTTGGGATGAGGACGAAGTACCATCAGATTGGAAAGAAGGATACCTGACCAAAATACCAAAGAAAGGCGATCTCAGCAAGTGTGAGAACTACAGAGGCATCACTCTTCTTTCAATACCAGGCAAAGTCTTCAACAGAGTATTGTTAAACAGAATGAAGGACTTCGTAGACGCCCAACTTCGAGATCAACATGCTGGATTTCGTAAGGATCGATCGTGTACCGACCAAATTGCAACATTATGAATTATCGTGGAACAATCAATTGAATGGAACTCACCACTCTACATCAACTTCATTGACTACGCGAAAGTATTCAATAGTGTGGACAGGAAAACACTATGGAGGCGTCCTCGACCCTACGGGTTGCCTGAGAAGATAGTCAACATCATACGGAGTTCTTATGATGGATTAAACTGCGAAATCGTTCACGGAGGACAGCTGACATTCTTGTTCGAGGTGAAGATCTGTGTCAGAAAGGTTGCTTACTCTTACCCTTTCTCTTTCTCCTGGTGATCGACTGGATTATGAAGAAGTCGACATCTAGGGGAAGCACGGTATCCGATGAACAGCTAGGACGCAGCTGGACGATCTGGACTTCGCAAATGATCTGGCTCTTCTATCTCACACACAACAACAAATGCAAGAGAAGACGACCAGTGTAGCAGCAGCTTCTGCAGCAGTAGGTCTCAACATACATAAAGGAAAAAGCAAAATTCTCCGATGCAACACAACATGCACTAACCAAATCACTCTTGATGGAGATGCCTTGGAGGACGTTAACACCTTTACATATCTGGGCAGCATCATCGACGAGAAAGGTGGATCCGATGCAGATGTGAGGGCCCGGATTGGCAAAGCAAGGGCTGCATTTCTGCAGTTGTAAAATATCTGGAACTCCAAACAACTGTCAACCAACACCAAAATCAGGATTTTCAAGACAGTTCTACTGTATGGAGCGGAAACCTGGAAAACTACGAAAGGCATCATCCAGAAGATACAAGTGTTTATTAACAGTTGTCTACGCAAAATACTTCGGATTCGTTGGCCAGACACGATCAGCAACAACGTACTGTGGGAGAGAACAAACCATATTCCAGTTGAGGAGGAAATCAGGAAGAAGCGGTGGAAGTGGATAGGACGCACATTACGAAAAGCACCTAACTGCGTCACGAGACAAGCCGTCGCATGGAACCCTCAAGGCAAAAGGAAAAGAGGAAGGCCAGAGAACACACTACGCCGAGAAATAGAGAAAGATATGAGAAGAATGAACAAACATTGGACAGAACTGGAGAAGGAAGCCCAGGACAGAATTGGTTGGAGAAAACTGGTGGGCGGCCTATGCTCCATTGGGGGTAACAGGCCTAAGTAAGTAAGTAATATCTCAGTGAAATAAACCCAAAAAGAGAAGGATGAAGTTGATGAGGAATTCAAAAGATTAGGATTTGAGCGAACACAAGGAAGGGACGCATCTGCACCATTTCATTTTGATCCATGTCATTCGAAGTCTCTAACCATCGGTTACACTTGTCTCCTGGATCCCAACCAGGTAGTCTACATCTGCTAACATGACTCGGTCCAGTTGTCAATGACTTGATAGATTTGTGCCATGTTTTGGTTTGGTCACCCCTAGCTTTCTTCCAACCTAATCCTACACCACAAAACATCGCTTTTCGAGGCTGACGGAAGTTAGACATACATAACATAGTAGGACGGAGCAAACTGCTGCGCAGTATACTCATCCTTTGGTCAGCAAATGGATATCTCGCGTACGCCATAAGTGACGCAACTTGGCAAAAGCCAATCGAGCTATCTGTATCTGCACTAGGATTCCGTCAGACATTAGACCATCAAAACGGATGAGACTACCGAGATAAGTGAACCAGTCGACACTCTCAATTACTTTTCTCTTTATCACTAGTTCAGGTGACGATGCAAGTCAATCCTGAAGCATCAGTTTGCATCTGGATGGAAAGAATCGCATCTCGAACATGCTTGAATGGTTGCTCATGGTAGTCAGAAGGTTTGTTCGTGTGTAGTGGAGCCATTTGGAAACCCATTATAGGTCAAGGAAAGATGCTTAAGATGTTCTGCGGGATTCAAAGCCTACTGTGAATAATTTAAATGAACTATGTCATGCATATCATGTCGGTTAGAGTAAAATTTAGCTAAGAATAAGCAAATTAAATGATATCATGAACTATTAGCTTTGGCGCGTGCTAGAGATATATAAACTTTCTAACTCATCTTATGATTTATGCAGTGCATATTTCTTTTGGTGCCAGCTTGCAAAAATGCGTGCTAAAATAAGTGGTTACTAGGTAGGTTTTTGATTCTTTCTTGCTTTTCCAAAGTTTACATACCAAACTGTTATGAAGAAACAGCTGGTTAGTAAACACAAGATATTTGTTCATACACAAATCCTGTGACAATTGATTGATAGTGGAAATTGATTATATATAACCAGACTAGTCTACAAAATAGCTGGCATCAATTAAATTACTTATGTAATCGTTTTACATTTCAGACTCCTTTACTCTAAAGTATCTTGGAAAAAGCTCCGAGCCTCTCGCTAAACCACTACAAGTTCCAATGACCAATAAGGGGATCGCTTGGCGGACTGATGTTGAAGAGAAGTTTGGAAAACCTCCGGCTGATTCATGGGCAAATACAGTTAAGCCAGTAAGTTGGAAAAAGTCAGCACTTGAGCGCTCATCTGGGGCATATAGTGAAGATGAAGAGTTATTAGTATGGATGCGCGTTGCAGCACTACCAACATTTCGTAAATTACATCGTCTTGTCACTCATGTGGGCGCTTTTTCAAATGGTCTACCAGCCGGTCTTTATAGCGTCGATATTGACTACTGTGAGTATTAGTTTCTTTTTATATATATCTCAACGTAGCTCTGATATGTTTTCCGTTCATTAAGTCCTTTTGCTTCTGCGAAATATAATCTCACGTAATTGATGCTATATACATATATATATATATAAATCTGCTTTAAACTTTTGAATTCACTTTTAATTGTATAAAAGTTACTGAAGAACCGACAGAAGACAGACATTTATAAAATCTACTTTAGACCAAATGATAATGTATATTAGGTAGAAAAATTGGCGTTTCTCAGAAAAAGGCGGTTTTCTGAACATGGTTGCATCATAATCATTTGCGGCACAAGGTGATAGAGGTATACGATAAAGGTTATTCATGGAGGCAAAAGAGCTATTAAGAGGTGGGAAAAGAATTTGATTGTGAGCAAGTTGGTATTGTGTGCTGTTACGGGTATGAGAGCGGATTTCACTTACCGATTGCCCACACTATGGAAGGTATTTCTTCAGGGACCTGAAAATAAAGTCGGGTTAGCGTTGGTTTTAGTGACTAGGGAGCGTGACTTCAGAGCCTAAGGGTTAACTGCTTGTAGCTGGTCGCTCACGGCTTTGTTTTCAGTAATATAAACAACTATATAGTACCTTATACATATATCTCCAATAGTTTAATTTATTCTATAAGCATTCATTCAATATTAAATGGTACTATAAAATTATCTAAAATGTCAAAGTAGTTCATTTCTTAAAAAACTAAGGAGTAAAATTACTTGGTTTTAACGATATACTTTTTGTGTGCTTTTTACAAATTTACTAAATAAAACACTATGTACAAGTTCCTTTTATTCCCCTGATTCATTTCTGCTCCCATATTTTCTATATTCAGCTTATCCTGTTACTCAGTTTGGTGGAACTAAACGAATTATCCTGTCTACAATGAGTTGGTTAGGTGGCCGAAACCCGACATTAGGAATAGCCTACATTGTTGTCGGCAGCGTGGGTCTTGTTTTAGGTCTTATATTTTTCTTTCTCCACTTCCATACAATCAGGTAATTTGATGTTTTGTTTGTAGACTTTTATTTCTTTTCCGAATAAGTTAACGAAAACAATCGATGTTGTATTATCTTCCTACTCAACAGTCCAACTCGGTTCATTTGTTTCCCAGGTATTCAAGTTAGAAGCAGAAAATTAACCACAAGAAATACAGTTTGACAAGAGTGCATGAAAAATATTAAATGACAATTAAAAAGAAAATCAAGGAATATGTACATCTGTATTACTGCGAATAGTTTCCAGTCATGTCACTAACATTATGTAGAAACAAGGTATAATACAAGCTGAAACCTTTTAGTTGGGGAATTTTTGCAATGGAAATGACTATTTACACTAGGCGTGTTTAATCGCATTAAATTTACATTCATAGGAATGCTTGGTGGTATGGCTTGCTGCGTATCAAGACAAAAGTGATTGCTCCTAACTATTCTGTAGTTTCACCAGTTTTAAGTCTTTATATAATACAAAACAGTGGTTCCCTTTGATAAATTTGAATAGAGAAATAAGAAGACATATTTTGCGAGATAGTACCATTTCGTGCTTTCTCGTCAGTCACATACAAGTGGCTGAAAGAAATTTTGGATCCTGTTTGTAAACAACTGTCGACACATACTATCCTCGATTCCTTTGAACTTCTCCCAACTTTGGAACATTTGAATATTTCTAATAGTCGGATGTGTTCTTTCGATGTAGACTCTTTATTCACAAATGTACCTCTCGAAGAAACTGTGGAATTTATTTGTGACTTCATAACTTCACACAACATAAGAATACCCATTCCGACTACCTATCTTCGAGATCTAATTTTGCTGTGCACAAAGAATATAAAATTCTATTTCCAAGGTAAAGCATATACACAAATCGATGGGGTGGCAATGGGAAGCCCTCTCGGACCTGTTTTAGCAAACATATTCATGGGAATGATAGAAAGGCAAGTGAGTCACTTCATCGATGGTATTACACTTTACAAACGATATGTCGACGATATTCTTGTCATATTACCACATTCTACAGACATTAATGAAATCAATGATTTATTTAATGCGATTCACCCGAATCTGAAAGTCACTTATGAGGAAGAAAAGAATAATGAACTAGCTTTCCTCGATATCCTGCTCCATCGCCGTCCAGACGGATCAATCAGACGAAAAGTACACCGCAAACCCACCTGGTCGGGACAGTACCTCCACTTCACTAGTTTCTGCCCCATACAATATAAACGTTCTGTTGTCAAAACTTTATTCGCTCGAGCAAGTAGAATCTGCACTGCTGATACATTGAACGACGAATTCAAGCTTATTACTGACACACTTAAATCAAACGGTATCCCGAAACGTTTATTCGCCATCAGAACACAACTATGACGAAGCTGATAGCAACTGGTGTGCCCAAGAAACCAGTGTACCTACAGTTACCTTTCAAAGGTGATCATTGCATGAAAATTACAACCAAACAGATTGCAGCTGCAATAAAAAAGACCTTCAATGCAGCTAATCTGTGGCTTATCACAACAACCCAATCGATCTCAGTTACCCCAATCAAGTCTCCAAGACCGATTCAGTCCAAATCCCACTGTATTTACCAATTCACATGTAACTGCGGAGAAAGTTACTTAGGGAGGACAGATCGCCGATTGGAAGACAGGATAGGGGAACATATTCCAAAATGGCTAATCAAATCCATGTTTCATCAACCTAGCCCATCATCTCAAAATCGATCAAGAAACCCAGCCTCGTCCATTGCAAAACATCTAATGATGAGTGGTCATCAAATTGACCTAAAATCAGCCTTTAGAGTTGTGACATGTAATCGAAACCCACACACGCTGAAACTACTCAAAGCTATCTTGATTGGTCGGAAAAGTCCAACTTTATGTGTTCTAAAACAACAACTGTATGTTGACCTTTGTTTACCATGGTTCTAATGAGTGAATGTCATGCTAAATAAGAAATTTTGACCTTATCTTCAAAACTGTATTTACACAAATAACATGTTGCTTGTATGTGACTGACGAGAAAGCACGAAATGGTACTATCTCACAAAATATGTCTTCTTATTTCTCTATTCAAATTTATATAATACGTAAGCTTAATCCCCTTGATACCGAAAACGTCAATTAATTGAATTTTGTGTAAATTTGAATTGAATTTTTTATAAAATGAGCAGCTAACCGCAGTTTTGTAGTGTCAGCGTGAAAGTAAATTGCCAGTTTATACTTAGGCCAAACTATTCTGATGTTAAAGTAAAATGTTTTAATTGTGTAATCAATATTTGAATACGATATTAACTAAATTTCTTTTACATTTATTCGTTTTTTACACAGGAGTCGATAGTCCAGTGTTCATAAAAATTGGATGACTTTTATGGATTATGATTAGTATTTTTACGAAAACTTGTTAATTGTTCCAGTGATCTTTTTTGAAGTCCTTTTTTAGAATATTTTTTTATTTCTGATGCCCATTCCTTTAAAAACTAACTTATAAATTTGAACAGCAGTTTTTCCTGTGATATTTTCAAGATTTCTGCTATAATATACTGATATTGTGTAAATTTCCACTGGCTTATTTAGTCAGATAATTTGTTACAGGACAGCTATACATCTAACTAGTGACTTCGGTTATTAAACTTTGGTTTAACTGCTCCTCAGCTTTTACCTCTCAGTTGGACGTTGAATGCTTCAAATTTTTTCGGTCCATATTGTTTAGTTATGGTTCACTACATAATCACTCTTCAAATAGCATTCAGTGAGATGAGTTTGGGCAAGCCCAGTTTAGTACATGTTCCAACCACCTCAGTCGATAAAAATTTAATGTTTTTTCAATTCATTTACCTTTAAATATAAGTATCACTTGCAGTCTACTTACGTATAATGCTTTCATAAGTCATAATTCATAACATTTTACCAATACAGAACAAAACGATAGACACTGTAGATCCATAACACAGGTGAGGCTTCGGTCTCTGGGTTGGATGTTTTAATCTTGAAGCTTTTAGTGTTCTTTATAACATCATCAGCTTAAACTTCAAGGGGAAGTGGGTGTTATTTTCTTGCCTTTATATTTGTCCAGTCATTCTCCATCCCATCGTGTAAATGACTGGTGTTTTTCAAAAGAGTAACGAAATCCTCACCCGACCGTAGCTGCTACCTTGACGTGGTGGTCGGGCTTGCCTATCGTGATGACCCAACCGAGCTATACTGGCTGGAACATATGTTCCTCAAGGTTCTACCATGCCAGACAGGTCGATTGGAGAACGATGAGACTAAAAGCAGCTACCCAAGGTCTGAGGGCGAAGTCGTACTGCTGACTGCAGAGGGGTGTGACAGCAGTAAGGTGTTTCCCTCGGACAACCAGCATCTGCAGCGATGCTGCCTTCTCACAAGGAAGGAAGGGTTAGAAAAGGTCGGCCCTAAAAATGTCAAATCCTTCCTACACCCCCTAGTACCTCTCTTATCTCTACGACTAACTCTTCTCACATTCATTCATCACAGTGCACAGCTAATGCAGACGATACGAGTTCGCGAAACGTCGTTCCTGGTCTCCTTAAACCTCGCTCTAGACTACATGTTGGAGCATTTAATGTACGGACATTGTGTCAAATAGGGCAACAGGCATCATTAGCTAGGACTTTAGAATCTCGTGCCATCGATGTATGCTGCGTCTCGGAAACGCGCATACAGGATCCGAGTCGCGTCATACACTTGGCCACACCATGTCAAAATAAAGAAGCAGCTCGATTTACTCTTCGTGTATCCGGTAGCCCTGATGCTGCTTCCAGGGGTCTTGCTGGTGTAGGCACAGCATTGAGTCGTAGGGCAGAACAATCTCTCCTTGACTGGATCCCAATAGATAGTCGATTGTGCGCTGTCCGACTGAACGGGACAGTAAGGACTCGGAAAGATAGGGACAATCGCCGTTGCCTCTTCATCGTATCTGCCTATGCCCCCACTGAATGTAGTTCAGACGAGGTAAAGGATGAGTTTTACAGAAAGCTTTCGGACCTACTCCAAAAAGCTAGGCGCTCTGATATAGTAATAATGGCTGGTGACTTCAATGCTCAGGTAGGTAGACTAAGTGAGCAGGAGAGACACCTAGGTGGATGTTATGGTGTCGCGGCTCAGAGAACAGACAATGGTGACCGTCTGTTGCAAGCATGCTCAGACAACCGCCTATTCTTAGCAAACACCAACTTTAGGCATAAGGAAAAGCATCTTTTGACCTGACGACCTCCAAAGTCGTCTCAACGTTGGACTCAACTAGATCACTTCGCCATCAGCCACCGATGGAGGGGTTCGATAGAGGACTGTCGCTCGTTCTGGAGCACATGTCTAGATTCAGATCATGCCCTGGTGCGAGCGCGTATTTGTTTGAAGCTTACTGGGTGTAGGAAAGACACCGTAAGAAAGCCTCTTAGGGTTTTATTTAATGATAATAAGGCGAAGAATATATTTCGGGAACAACTAGAAAGATAGTAAGGCGACCATGTAAGCGATTCCCATCCGGACGCAGGTTGGAATGATATGAGAAAGGCTGTGGAAACAGCAGTGATATCTGCTAGTAAGGTTGACCATAAGGCTAGAATGAAGCCGTGGATCTCAGTAGCATCCACCGATCTGATGGATACTCGAAAACTCATCCCACCTGGCTCTGAACATGATGAAGAACGAAGTCAACTTAGGCGCAGACTTATGAAAAGCCTACGTAACGATCGCGAACAGTGGTGGGTGGCGAAAGCAAAAGCGATGGAAAAGGCAGCGGTGATCGGCAACAGTAGACAACTTTTCCGACTTATCAAGGAAACTGGTATTAGGAATCCTAATGTAAGTGAGACTATCTCAGAAAATGACGGGACTATTATTTATTCTCGATCCAGGAGACTGGATCGATGGGCAGAACACTTTAGGGATCAGTTCAACTGGCCTCGAGCCACTCTTCAGTTACCCACGATCTCCAGTCATCCTGAATGGCAAATCGACATAAGTCAGCCTAGTCTTAATGAAGTTGAAAAAGCGTTAGGAAATCTGAAGCGAGGACGAGCTGCAGGTCCTGATAGACTGACCCCTGAGATATTTAAGGATGGTGGTCCAGTTTTAGCACCTAGGTTGACTGAGATCTTAGGTAGAATCTGGGAACTGGACGTAATCCCATCCGACTGGTCACAATCACTGATTGTCCCAATCTATAAGAAAGGACAGAAGTCTTCTTGTGACAATCACAGAGGAATAAGTCTAACTAATATAGTATCTAAAATATTGGCTTCAGTAATACTTCGACGCTTAACGAAAGCTCGTGAAGAGCAAACTCGAGAAAACCAGGCTCGTTTTCGACCTGGACGTGGTTGTATAGACCACATTTTCACACTACGACAGGTCCTGGAACACAGACACACATTTAGGCGTCCTACAATAGTTGTTTTCCTGGACCTTAAGGTGGCATTCGACTCTGTAGATCGTGAGGTTCTGTGGCAGTGTCTGTCATTGAAAGGTGTACCAAAGAAGTACATTAACCTTATACAAGCTCTCTACTCGAACACCACTGGTCGGGTGAGAGCTTATGGCGAACTGTCACCGGAATTCTCTACTTCAAGTGGTGTCCGTCAGGGCTGTCCACTTTCTCCATTCTTGTTTAATTTTATCATAGACATGCTCCTAGAAATAACCTTATCCTCGTCTGAATTTTCTGGAGTAAACCTTTTACCAGGTAGCTTGCTTATTGACTTAGAATATGCCGATGACATAGTCCTACTTGGTGAAGATGCTGACAAAATGCAGCGTCTTCTGACTACCCTAAGCAACAATGCAAGCATGTTCGGGATGCGGTTTTCCCCCTCGAAATGCAAAATGTTGCTTCAAGACTGGGTTGGATTGGCACCTGAACTAGTGATAGGGAGTGAAGTGGTCGAACGTGTAGACCGCTTCACTTATCTTGGGAGTCTCATCAGTGCTGATGGCCTGGTGACTGACGAAATCTCAGCACGGATACAGAAGGCTCGATTGACTTTTGCCAACCTGCGTCACTTATGGCGTAGGCGAGATATCCGTTTGCTGACTAAAGGACGAGTGTACTGCGCAGTGGTTCGCTCCGTCTTACTTTATGGCTGTGAAACATGGCCAATGAAAGTAGAAGATACTCGTCGGTTATTGGTTTTCTATCATAGGTGTATCCGAAGCATTGCTCGTATATCGTGGGACACCCGAGTGAGCAACGCTGTTATTAGGAAACGGGTGCTAGGTAAGAATGGCAGATCAATAGACGCAGTAGTGACACTTCATCAGTTGAGGTGGTTGGGACATGTGTTGCGTATGCCCAACCACCGACTGCCTCGTCGAGCTTTGTTTTGTAGTGTAGGACTAGGTTGGAAGAAAGCTAGGGGCGGCCAGACCAAAACATGGCAGAAATCTATGAAGTCATTGACGAGTGGACTTAGCCATGTCGTTAATTGTCGACTACCTGGTTGCGGTCCGCGAGATGATAATAATCGATGGCTAGAGACCTTGAATGGCATGGCTCAAAATCGTTCGCAATGGCGCCAGTGCATTTATTCTTTGTGTTCTCTCAAATCCTAATCTTCTGCATTCTTCAACACCTCTAGTTTTTACTTTCTAAACGTATCTCATTGAATCATACTTCTTGAATAATATCTTCTAATCCTAACCTCTCCGATTACTCCTAATACCGTTACTACCTCTTCTACTATTGGATTTGGATTGACAATTATATCTCTGTGCTGATGTGGTATGGCGACATGAACTGATGTACTTACGTACGAAGTTCTAAGTTGCAACTGACTGACTGAACGAAATCCTCATGGTTAAACCGTCCACCTCAGAGAACGAAACTCCAACAAAAGAATGTAATGTATTCGTTGTTTGGCAGTAAATAATAACTAAACAAGGTTATCATTATCTCATTACTCACTAACGGATGACAAATCAGTTGTACACGAAACGCTTACTGAGAATTATGTAAAACGCTAAAGTGTAATAAGTAACAAATGTACAGGCATATAAGACCAGCTTTATTGATTCACAAAAGCGGGTATGTGCTACAGTGCACAGTATGAACTACATTAGCTGTTTATACTAGTAAAGAGTAAGATCGTGTCGATTGTGTTGCATTACATATTCGAGTCATCTTGTGCGAAGGTATATAGGAAGACATTCTGATTATCCTGTGGAGTTGGAAAACCGATAAGTCGGCAGTAACAGTATTTTCATCCATTAACAAGTCGAAATTGAAAATATCAAATTCCGAAAGGTTTCTCTAACCATAAAGAGATGAGTAACGAAAGCGTTTTATGCAATGCTAAATCCCTCTGTCGCAATCGAAAAGAACACCTGGTCACTCGCCCAACTTTGACTGTTACTTCGAACACCCGCAGAGTTTAACGGTGTCGAATGTGAAGCAGTTACCACCAAAGAAAATGAATGATGAACACGCAATATCGTGAATTTAATCATGCTGGGCACTGACATCGTCGGATGCTGGCTGTGTCCGAGAGGTTAAGCGTTCGTATACTAAACCGAAGGTCCTGGGGTCGTAGATACACACTGCTGATAACCTCCATACTAGGACGAGACGGCCACCCAATGATGGTAGTTTAAAATTGATCAGTTCACAGTTTCAATGGAGCACATCTTCAGCTTTCTCACATTTAAATTTTGACTTCATTACTTCATATTAGGAATCACACAAATTGATATCTTGTACATAATCACCTTGACAATAATAACGTGACATTGACGTGTGCAGACCCATTATGAATTTGAGTGCACTAAATATACTCTACTGTTTCCTCCATACTACTTGAACCTGTGTTAATTTACTTACTTTGAAGAAGTGACTAACATCAAATCACAAAACGTCAGAAATCCAAATTTCTACGCATTGAGCTACCATCAAAATATCACTTAATAGTTTGTTGAGGTTTACCCTCTTTAGAGGATGAAAATAAACGAAATTACAAAATGCCTATTTCACGAATGACGTGCAAGTAGGCAATGAATGCGAGCGATTTATAGAAAAAAGTATGATTACTGGTAAGTGGTAAAATTAAAAAGCTAGTTTTCAAGGCAGAAAGCTTCGTAATCAGGTTAAAACTAAACATCTCTGAATGTGAGGATTGGTAACGCCAAACCTAAAGATGAGGGCCGGTTTCTAACAGTGATATTAGGACTATATGAATGTCGGAGTTTTCAGCGAAATCTTTTGGTTAACAAAACGCATGAAGATTATGTAAAATATCCAGTGCACTTGAATAATATGAAACATGACTGAACTCTCAAGTATATTAAATAGATATTTTACTAATGTATTCGTTAGAAAGTTTACACATGAAAAATGATCGTTAGTTTGGGCGTAACAACTGGGAATATAGCTTAAATATAAATCCAAAAACGGCAGAAAGGAAACTAACTGGCAGCATGTTTAATATGAAATTAAACACTGCTTTATGTATATACAGATGGTAGAGGTAAGAAAGTATACAATAATTCTAACAAACAAAATAAACATCGTAAATATGCATACATAGCTGTAAGAAATACTGGCATCGTGACCCGAATAAAATACGATTAACAAAATAAGTTAAAATACTCCTAGTCATCCAATTCATGTAATTGGAACCTCTCTTCATCATATAACCGAGCTTGGACAACACGACCAGCAAAATAACGTTGATTTAGGGCACAGCACGCAGCTTTAGCGTCATCCGATCGGTCGAACTGAATAAAGATGCGGACATCCTGACTTGTCATTATATGAATCAAAACACGTAGGACAGAACCGTAATTCCCGCACTCCTCCATTACTTCCTCCTTCAGTTCATCATCTACTTCATTAACACCCACCATATTCTCGAGTAATAAAACCCTGAAAGTGATAGTCAAACAAATAAAAGATAAAAAGTGGTTAGACCACTAAGTATAAAAGCATTCTAAATGAAAATAGTGTTATCATGAAAGCATTTAATAAACTATGTTAAATGTAAAGAATACAAAATATTCAATACGTAATGCAGAAAAACTAATATATTAACATTGAAATCATGAATGAATCATTGTTATACCACCATTAAAAACCTGGAAGCACGGGACGGCTGTTTCTTCCTGGTATGGAACTCATCAACAGTGTGCAGGATTCGAACCCAAAACCTTCGGCGCGAACGCCTAACCTCTGAACCAGTGGTCGTGGATGTGCACTGCTTATGAGTCCAATACCAGGGAGAAACGCCCATCCAGTGCTTTCAAGTTCCTAATGGTGGTCTAACAATGATTCATTCATGATTTCAATGTGTAAAAACAATGATCTGCATAGTACTATAGTGCAGAATATACTGACACCAATTCATTATTAATTACTGTTTGGCTATGGAAGTAGTGGATTGCAAATATTTGAACCTTGATATCTCCAAGCTAGTATCCACGTACAACAATCCTGATTTTAAACGTAGTCTGATAAACAGAGTTCGACCGATGAACCTTTACGATCTTAAATGTTTACGGGCTATTTCATTCATAGCTGACGCTAACATGTTCTGTTCAAAAGCATAAAGTATTCTAGAGAAATACCAGAGGTTGCCAGACCAAGACACAGCCTGTGGAGTCACTGTCTGTCCAAACCATATCAGGGAGTTCAGAATTTATTATTTTCAGCTGCGAGGTAATCGTGACATATAAAAGCCAATCACAGATCGTCAAAAAATTTAATGTTACCAAAGTCCACAAAAAATTCCTACTAATGATGCGTTCCAATTAAAGAAACTTTATGATTAACAGCATTAGAACTACTTGTTTTTTGTCAATAATTTGAATGGAAATGGCAGAATATCTACTCAAACTAAAATTACTAAGGAGTGTTAACAAATAAATAAATAATTAAATCTGAACCTATTTAGCTAGAGAAAATATAAGATTTTATTTGGTAGTCCGGAACTTTGCCTAAAATGACATGTAAAATAGATACAAAAAACCATAAAGACATAACTACGTTGAAAAGTAAGCATCTATTTTGTAGTTTGTGATGAGGAAGAAACAACTACTAAGCGCAAAGATCTACTAATAAGCTCGTAAAATATAGCCGTTAACAAGTAGATAAAATTGATTCCTACCTTGACATACTAATAGTAAATACGTCTTGAGAGTCTTCGACATCATTTAACTGAGCAGTTACTTCAGTATGCTCCCCAATTTGATTTTCAGTAGGAATCTCAGGGACTTCCTCTGAAGCAGTTGGGACCGGGATCGCTGAATCGTCATCGTCGTCCCAAACAGATGCAGTTGTGACAGAAATGACATCTAGATGATACAGAAATCAATATGTGAAATTAAATTCACAGAAATTTCAAACATAAAACTAAGAAAACGGAAAAAACTGAGTTAGACACAGGAAACGATCTATCTATAATCATATTTCTAGAACTGAATTTCCGTTGATTGGTCGGTTCTACAGTTGCACCGGCCATTTTTCGACCTTGTGATATCCTCATATTACAACTGCACGGGCCTGGACACGTTACAATAAATGAAACCATGAACAGTAAGTCATTTATACCTGATTTTCAAGATCTGTCATGCAAAAGCATTCTTAACTCAGACAAGTGAATGATAATTTTGTTTATTTTAGTGTCCACTTAAATGCATTAGGCATAAGATATCTTACCCAGCTATCTATCTAGACACAAAGACTTGACGTACTTGAATATAATTGTATTTCTTTCTGGCTAGCTCTTACCTTCAGTATTTTTAGTCTCAATCTCTAGAAGTATAAAAACAGCCTTAGGAAAAAAACCGTGTAATCTCTAATACTTCCTACCTTATCAATCTAACATACGTTGAATAATTGAAAAAAGTAACTACAGAAGTTTTTTATTGTTCTCGATGTGAAGTAATAATTCGGTTTATTTTCGTGAGGTTGTCATTACAACAGGCGTATCCTGTAAGGTAACACTTACTGTTCACAGCTGAGATAATAATATCTCTTCAGAAGACTTAACAGTGGATAGTAGTAAGGAAAATTCACTGTGATTACATGAAGACGAGAAAAGTCAAACTGTGAATATATGATTAGAATAATCGAGAGAATGATTGGTAAACGAACGGAAGGAGGGCAAGAACTCATTGCAGAAAAATAAAAACCTAGTAGGTCGACTGCATTAGTTCGTTTACATGGTTTATTTGGGTGATTAGAGTTTTTAGTCGGGGTCGTGATGACTAAGATAGCGAATCCTGAAAACCTCTTGTGTTAAAAGTAAAAAGAAATATGCAGTCTTTTAGGCTTTCTGACCAACAGGTTAATTTCATGACCGTTCAGACGTAACTCCTCGCAATTACTTGTGAGGCTGCATCAGGACGAAGTGACGACAAAACATGAGAATAGACAGTTAAAGTGCCTGACTTCTTAGGACTTCCAGGAAGTGCTGAACGACGGGAACGGAGATAGGACAAATGTATTGCTAGAAGTGGAGAGCATTATGAAGAGGGAATGATTAATGTACCCTATCTTTTGTAGAATAAAGTTTTCCGTCACCCCGATCTGTGTATCTATTGGACAGACTGTGTATATCCTTTTGATATCGAAGAGTCCAGTAGACAATTTGCAGTTCTATCAAATGTGTTTTCTATTTTTCAAAAACAGTAGATCAAAATCTTTTCATAGTTAGGGTGACAGTTTTTTTCAAAAAAGTAATTACCATCTATTTGCTTTTCTTCTGATGCTGCCGGTACAACATCTCCCACAGCGGTAGGAATAAATACACCAGGGGGCGGAAGATTTTGTGCAGCTGCAGGAGGGCCAGAAAATCCAGTGGAGGTTGTAGGGCGATTAGTCTGTTCAGATTCAAGAAATTTAATCGAGAAAGGATTGTGAATGTAGGTCACTCAACTGAAAATCAGCGTTCAAAATTATCTGTGAGATAAACAGAAACCTGCTGAAGACACCAGTCTGTCTTTTTAATATTGATGAATCACTTGCCAAACTTTTAGAAAAGACAGAATTGAGTATAAAAAAGAAATCTATATAACCTTTTCTTCTATCATCGTTTCAAACTTTTGGGTTTTCGAAGCCACTAAACTTTCTAGTGACGTTTTAGCTTTAAACGATTTATTTTGTTTCTATACCATCTATGATTAAATTTATTTTAATCTCGACAGCTTACCTTACCATGCTGCGCAACTCTTGTGCATAATTAACATTCTTCATATAACATTTATGGAAATAGTGATAATTATTCGAGATTTTAACAACTGTATTTACAGTTTCTCAGTCAGTTAGTCAGTCAGGCAGTTACAACGTAGAACTTCGTACGTAAGTACATCAGTTCAGGTTGCCATACCACATCAGCACAGAGACGCATTTGTCAATTCAAATACCATGGTGGTAGAGATAGTAGAAGAATTACTGCAAATGGCGAAGACTAGGATTTGAAGATAATATTCAAGAATAATAATTCAATGAAATAAGTTTAGAAAGACAAAGGTAGAGGTGTTGACGAATCCAGAAGATTAGGATCTGGGAGAACACACAGAATAGATGAACCCAAGAAACTGCAAACGATTCTGAGCCTTGAAATTCAAGGTCTCTTACAAATCTACCAACATGACTCATCCCACTTATCAGTGATTTCATGTATTTCTGCCGTGTATTGGTTTGGCCACCGCTAGCTTTCTTCCAACCTACTACCACACCACATAGCTCGTTGAGGCAGTCGGTGGTTAGGCATACGTAACACATGTCCCAACCACCTCAAATGAAGAAGTTTCATTACTTCATCTATTGATCTGCCATCCTTACCTAGCACTCGTTTCCTAACAACCGGATTGGTCACTCGTTTGTCCCACGATACTCGAGCAATGCTTCGGAGGCACCTATGATCGAAAACAAGTAACCTACGAATATCTTCTACTCTCACTGGTAATGTTTCACAGCCATAAAGTAGAATGGAGCGAACTACCGCCCAGGACACTCGTCCTTTAGTCAGCAAACGGATGTCTCGCCTTCGCCAGTCTAGGAGAGCTAGTTCTGCCCTATGACTTCTTACACCAGCAAGGCCATGAGAAGCTGCGTCAGGGCTACCGGATACACGAAGAGTAAATCGGGCTGCTTCTTTATTTTGGTAAGGTGAAATCAAATTAATAACTTCACTAGGATACTGTATGCACGTTTCCGAGACGCAGCGGACATCGATGGCGCGAGATCCTAATGTACTATATAAGGAAGCCTGTTGCCCTATTTGATACAATGTCCGCACATTAAATGCTGCAACATGTATAAACTACGAGGTTTCAGGAGAATAAAGTTTCGGGAACTCGAATCGTTTGCACCAGCAGTGCGGGGTGATAAAAGAGTGTGGTGGGCATGGGCAGAGTTGCCGACTGAAGTTGCTACCTTGACGTGGTGATCGGGCTTGCATATCGTCATGAACCAATCGAGCTATATTGGCTGGAACACATGTTCCTGAAGGTTCTACCATGACAGTCAGGTCAATTGGAGAACGATCAGACTAAAAGCAGCTACTCAAGGTCGTACTGCTGACTGCAGAGGGGTGTGACAGCAGTAAGGTGTTTCCCTCGGACAACCAGCATCTGCAGCGATGCTGCCTTCTCACAAGGAAGGAAGGGTTAGAAAACGTCGGCCCTAAAAATGTCACACCTCACCCTACCTCACGGATTTCCCTCTGAGTCGGTAAGGGTGCCCACCATGGGCCTTTAAGAACGGAGCTAATCCTCAAAAACCCTTTCATAAAAAGGCCGTGCGTGACCGGCCTCAAGCAGTTGTCCCCTGGGGTCTGCGGTCACGCACCCAGATCTCTAAGACCAACACTAATCTAAATTCCTTTTCAGGTTCCTCAAGAAACAACCTTCCACGGTGTGGGCAGCCGGGAAGTGACTACCGCTCTCATACCCGTAACATCACGCGAGACCAAATTGGTCATAATCAAATCCTTCCTACACCCTCTATTATCTCCTAACTTCTTTGTCACAATGCACAGCTAATGCAAACGATGCGGGTTCACGAAACGTCATTCCCGGTCTCTTGAAACCTCACTCTAGACTACATATTGGAGCATTTAATGTACGTACATTGTGTCAAATAAGGCAACAGGCATCATTAGCAAGGACTTCAGAATCTCGTGCCATCGATGTATGCTTCGTCTAGGAAACGCGCATACAGGATCCGAGTAAAGTTATTAATTTGATTTCACCTTACCAAAATAAAGAAGCAACTCGATTTACTAGTCGTGTATCCGGTATCCCTGATGCTGCTTCCAGGGGTCTCGCTGGTGTAGGTATATCATTGAGTCGTAGGGCAGAACTAGCTCTCCTAGACTGGATCCCAGTAGATAGTCGCTTATGCGCTGTCCGACTGAACGGGACAGTAAGGACTCGGAAGGATAGGGACACGCCGTCGCCTCTTCGTCGTATCTGCCTATGCTCCCACTGACTGCAGTTCAGACGAGGTGAAAGATGAATTCTATGGAAAGCTTTCGAACCTCCTCCAAAAAGCTAGGCGCTCTGATGTAGTAATAATGGCTGGTGACTTTAATACTCAAGTAGGTAGACTAAGTGAAAATGAAAGACACCTAGGTGGATGTTATGGCGGCGCGGCTCAAAGAACAGACAATGGCGACCGTCTGTTGCAATTATGCTTAGATAACCGCCCATTCTTAGTAAACACTAACTTTAGAAATAAGGAAAAGCATCTTTTGACCTGGAGACCTCCAAAGTCGTCTCAACGTTGGACTCAAATAGATCACATTGCCATTAGCCACTGATGGAGAGGTTCGATAGACGACTGTCGCTTGTTCTAGGGCATATGTCCAGATTCAGATCATGTTCTAGTGTGAGTGCGTATTTGTTTGCGACTTACCGTACGTAGTAAAGACCCCTCAAGGAAATCTGTCAAAGTTCTACCTGATGATAGCAGATCTATGAATATATTTCAGGAACAACTAGAAAAACAGTTGAGCAGCCATGTACTCAGTGATGCCCAGCCTGAGGCAGGTTGGTATGATATCAAAAAGGCTGTGGAAACAGCAGTGATATCTGCTAGCAAGGTAAACCATAAGCCTAGAATGAAGCCGTGGATCTCAGTCGCATCCACCGAACTGATGGATGCTCGAAAACTCACCCGTCCTGTCTCTGAACATGATGAAGAACGAAGTCAGCTTAAGCGCGGGCTGATAAAAAGCCTACGCAATGATCGAGAACAGTGGTGGGTGGAGAATGCAAGGAAGATGGAAAAGGCAACGATGATATACAACAGTAGACAACTATTCAGACTTAGCAGGGAAACCGGTATTAGGAACCCGAATGTGGGTGAGACTATTTTGGAAAAGGATGGTCTTATTATTCAAAAGTCTTTTTGTGGCATTCACAGGGGAATAAGTCTAACTAATATAGTTTCTATATTGTTAGCCTCGATTATGCTTAGACGCCTAACTAGAGCTCGTGAAGAACAGACTAGAGGAAACCAGGCTGGTTTCAGACCTGGACGTGGCTGCATAGACCACATCTTCACACTACGACAGGTCCTGGAACACAGACATACATTTAGGCGTCCGACAATAGTTGTCTTCCTGGACCTTAAGGCGGCACTAGACTCTGTTGATCGTGAGGTTATGTGGCAGTGTTTGTCATTGAAAGGTGTACCAGAGAGGTACATTAACCTTATACAAGTTCTCTACTCGGACACCACTGGTCGAATTAGAGCTTATGGCGAACTGTCATCAGAATTATTTACTTCAAGTGGTGCCCGTCAAGGATGTCCGCTCTCCCATTCTTGTTCAATTTTTTCATAGACATGCTCCTAGATATAATCTTATCCTCGTCCTAATTTTCGGTAAAGACGCTGACAAAAGGCAGTCTTCTGACCACCCTAAGCAATAATGCAAACATGTTCGGGATGCGGTTTTCCCCTCTCGAAATGAGAAATGTTGCTTCAAGATTGTGTCGCATCGGTACTTGAACTAGTGATAGGGAGTGAAGTAGTCGAACGTGTAGACCGCCTCACTTATCTCGGGTGTCTCATCAGTGCCGATAGCCTGGTGACTGACGAAATCTCGGCACGGATACTGAAAGCTCGGTTGGCTTTTTCCAACCTGCGTCACTTATGGCGGAGGCGAAACATCCGTTTGTTGACTAAAGGACGAGTGTCCTGGGCGGTAGTTCGCTCCATTCTACTTTATGGCTGTGAAACATTACCAGTGAGAGTAGAAGATATTCGTAGGTTACTTGTTTTCGATCATAGGTGCCTCCGAAGCATTGCTCGAGTATCGTGGGACAAACGAGTGACCAATCCGGTTGTTAGGAAACGAGTGCTAGGTAAGGATGGCAGATCAATAGATGAAGTAATGAAACTTCTTCATTTGAGGTGGTTGGGACATGTGTTACGTATGCCTAACCACCGACTGCCTCAACGAGCTATGTGGTGTGGTAGTAGGTTGGAAGAAAGCTAGCGGTGGCCAAACCAATACACGGCAGAAATACATGAAATCACGGACAAGTGGAATTGTGGTGTGTGCTACTTATACGAACGATATAAGTAGTATAAGAAGGGACGTGAAAGATGAAGTCGCATGGTCAGAAGAGGAAAACGGAAAGCAAATGGAGCAAAAGCAAGAAGTAAATGGAGTACCAACAGGAATTAAAGGAAGCAGCAGCAGGAATGGAAGAAGGATGGAGCGTTGGAAGTCACGACTCAAAGATAATGTGCAAATAGAGTTCAATCTAATGTTTTCATTTTTAATTGACTAAGAGTGTAAATTTGCACAATACAATCTTCCGCGCCTGCCTCAGTCTTATCAATTGGTGTCGCTGCCTCTACACAGGAAGGAGATCACATGGCCTCGGGAGTTTGAAGACGAAGATGTGAGGAGTTCGAGGCCGTGGCGGAGCTGGCAGGAGTCAGGGAGCAGAGGGCGAAGGCGGTGGTGTTGGGGACACTACTAAGAGGCAGGGCGAGAGCGGTGTTAGGAAGGTGTGGAGGACGCTGACTGGGAGGTAGTGAAGGAAAGGCTGCTAGTGGAGTTCGACAGCCCGGCGGATAGGCAGGACGCGCTGTAGAAGTTCCGAGAGGGGAGACTGACGGTAGATGACGACCCACTCGTGCTGGCTGTGGAGTTGACAAGATTGCTGCGCCAGGGTCTGCCGAATTTGGATGAGGAGTCGCAAGCGCAGCTCCTAGCGTCGCGATTCACTGAAAGTGTGCCTGCAGAAGTTGCCCAACAGTTGAGACTAGTGAACGCGGCACAACCAATGGACGTCACCGAGCTGGCTTAAGTAACAAGACAACTAATGAAATCAACATTCGCCTCGGTGGCGTGTGAAAGACAGGCTGATGATGTCGCGAAGAAGATAGAAGAATTACAACGCGAGGTGGCAGCATTACGAATAAAGGGTGGAAGAAATAATAAATGCTATATTTGCGGAGGAACCGGACATTGGAAGAGGAATTGCCCAACAAGACAAAAACGTAAACATTTTAGACCATATACACGGTGTTCTTTATGTCCTGTGAAATTGGGGGTCGCGACAGTAGTAGATAGGGGGGTGGTCTATGCGAGAGTAGGGATAAACGAGCGAAAGGTTGTGTGCCTGATTGATACAGGGGCGGCAGTTTCGTTAATAGACAAAGAGCGGTGTAGAAGTATCAAACTGAGTGCATTAGTTGTTAACACCATCGGAGGCCACGTGTTAAAAATCCTAGGAGTCTCAAATGACATCGTGAAAATCGGCAATTCGGAAATACATTTTCCCTTTGTGGTAACTACGAACTTGTCGAGACCAATACTAGGAGCAGATTTCTTGAGAGAAGTAGGAGCAATTATTGATACAAGAAGCAAGAAGGTGATTACAAACAATACATGACAGCAGCGAGGTGGCTGAAGTTAGAGTAGCGAAAGAGGAGAATGAAAAGAAACAGAACATTAACGAGGTGCTCACGAAATATACGAAGTTGTTCACGGGAGACGGAGAACCGTACGGGTTTTGCAATAAAGTTAAACATGAAATTCCGATAAAGAACGAAGAAGTGACCATCTTCACAACACGACGGGTCCCCGTACATTTGGAAGCTGAGATAAACCAGCAGGTACAGGAGATGTTAAAGGCAGGTATAATTGAAGAAGCAGATAGCTCGTACAGCTCACCGGTACTTTTGGTAAAGAAGCCAAATGGAAAGCATAGGTTCTGTGTTGACTTTAGAGAACTGAATAACGTAACAAAACTAAAACCATGTGCAATGCCAACAATAGCGGAGACATTAGATCGTCTACAGAGTGCTACAGTGTTCACAGTGTTAGATTTACGGTCCGGCTATTGGCAGCTACCAATAAAAGACAGTGATCGCAGCAAAACGGCATTTACCATACGGGAGAAGCAGTATCAATTTAAACGAATGCCCTTTGGATTGGCGAGTGCACCGTTTACGTTTCGAAGACTAATGACATTGCTGCTCAGAAACCTGGAGAATGTCGAGGTGTATGGCGATGATTTGGTCGTATATAGTCGTACAGAGGCAGAACATGTGAGGCACGTGGAGGCGGTCCTAAGGCGAATTGATGAGTTTGGTTTACGAATTAACAAAGACAAGTCCCAGATAGCGAAAAGTGTCACGTTGCTGGAGCATAAAGTAGGCAATGGAGAAATAAAACCACTGCCGGGGAAGATTCTAACGATAAAGAATATTGCAGTTTCCAACTCAAAAAGGAAGTTAAGACAGTTCCTGGGAAGAGCGGCGTTCTACAGCAGATTCGTGAAGAACTTCGACGATATAGCAGCACCTATATATAAAGTGCTAAGCAATGCGAAGTTTACGTGGACAGAGACCGCTCAACAAACCTTCGACCGAATCAAAGAGCTGTTAGATGACCGCCAAATGACGCTGAGACTGCCGGAACCCGAGAAGCCATTTACAGTGACCACTGATGCGAGCGATCACGGTATAGGTGCCGTCTTGAGGCAGTCTGACAGAGTGGTGGGGTATGCCAGCCGTGTCCTTACGCCGACGGAACAGAAGTATTCCACAATAGAAAAAGAGTGTTTAGCGATTGTATGGGCGGTAGACAAATGGAGACCGTATCTACTGGGTCGGCGATTTCACATCGAGACGGATCATAAGCCCCTACAATGGTTGAAAACAGCAAAAGACCCCCGGGGGAAGTTGGCTCGATGGATGCTACGTCTGCAAGAGTATGATTTTAGCATCGGGCATGTGCCAGGGGGCGAAAATGTAGTGGCAGATTATTTGTCAAGACCGGACACCGAAGCCGAACTTCCAGAGATAGCGTGTGTAGTTAACGGCCTAGAGGGAGACCCCCTAGAACTCGTCCGACATCAGAAAGCCGACCCTAACCTTCGAGAGGTAATCAGAGTGATAAAAGAGGGAGAAGATGTCGACAAGAGTGGAACAGACAAAGAATTAACAGTGTTGCTGAGGCAGAAGGAGAGACTGAGAGTGAACGGATACGGAGCCTTGATCCGGCGGGATGATGACGAGAATTGGGCAGCAATAATCCCAAAAGATCTGCGCCAGGACATGATTCGTGAATGTCACCAGGTAGCGCACACAGGTATTGCAAGGACAACTGATTTGCTGCGACAAAGTGCGTACTGGCTAGGTATGAGACACGATGTTGCACGATATGTGTTAGCGTGCCAGCGATGTCAACTAATGAAAGGGGATCGATGCATACGACCGTCATTGCAGTCAATCCCAGTAACAGCAGTTGGTGATTTGTGGTCAGTGGATGTTATGGGACCGTTCCCTCAGACGACAAGTGGTAACCAGTACCTGCTGGTGATGACTGAGCATGCCACACGATGGGTAAATGCCATGCCGATGGCGGACCAACGTGCAAGGACGGTGACTGAAGCGCTAATGCGACACATTGTGGCGGACCATAGAATACCAAAGATAATGTTAACCGATCAAGGTCCCTGTTCCGAGAGTGATGAGTTCAAGTCCCGTCTAAAACAGTTGGGTATCAAGAGAGTACGAACAACGCCGTATCATCCACAGACGAATGGGTTAACGGAAAGGAATAACCGAACGCTAAAGGAATGGCTAGCATCTAAAGGGGGGTGACTGGGAGAAAGAATTACCATTAATCTTGCTGGCACATCGTGCCTCGGCACAGAGAACAACCAGGAAATCATCGTTCCAGCTGATGTATGGCAGACGGCCGAGACTACCAACGCATGATAAAACCTGGCCGCAACGACAGAGATGGAATACAACAAGGTTGAGAACAGAGCGGAGACAAGCAATCAGGAATGTGAGAGAGAAACAAACATCAGACATGGAGAAGTCAGAACAGGAGAGAAAGAACTGGAGACCGTTTGAAGTGGGAGAACAAGTGAAGTGTAGAGAACGGAAATATACCACACGAAGAGGCCAGGGTCAGGTAAGCTGATCCCGAAGTGGGAGGGACCGTACGTCGTCACCAAGAGACGCGGCTGTGTGTCCGATCCAGAAAGGCGTGAATGCCAGTGAACTCCAAACGTGGTTCCAGGTGCGCCAAGAGGGCGAGCCACAAACAATGATAAAGAAGACGGCTGTACGGCGATCAGAAAGACTGAGAGAGCGACTTGTTAAAGGGGGGACGAGTGTGGTGTGTGCTACTTATACGAACGATATAAGTAGTATAAGAAGGGACGTGAAAGATGAAGTCGCATGGTCAGAAGAGGAAAACGGAAAGCAAATGGAGCAAAAGCAAGAAGTAAATGGAGTACCAACAGGAATTAAAGGAAGCAGCAGCAGGAATGGAAGAAGGATGGAGCGTTGGAAGTCACGACTCAAAGATGACTAAGAGTGTAAATTTGCACAATACAATCTTCCGCGCCTGCCTCAGTCTTATCAGAATGAGTCATGTTGGTATATGTAGACTAACTGATTGGAGTCCGCGAGATGATAACAATCGATGGTTAGAGACCCTAAATGACATGGCTTAAAAACCGTGTGCAATGGTTTCGTCAACACCTCTACCTTAGTCTTTCTGAACTTATCTCACTGAACTATACTTATTGAATATTATCTTCAAATCCTAGTCTTCTCCATTTGCAGTAATTTTTCTACTATCTCTACAACTATGGTATTTGAATTGACAAATGCGTCTCTGCGATAATGTGGTACGGCAACATGAACTGATTTACTTACGTACGAAGTTCTATGTTGTAACTGATTGACTGACTATAAAGTAGGAGGAAATGGGACATGAATTTTCTTAACTAGCAAACAGTGAATATTTTGTTATTCTGTACTCTCTCATCTTTTATATTTATAGTCATCATTATTTTATCACAAATATCCTATATTTATTGACTCCTTAAAATGTGCTTGTTTGTTTTCTTTTTTGGTTGTTAACATGAGCTCTTGCTTTACCACAGTATACTTTTTACCTTTAATAGCTACATTAATGTAAAATATAATGTCTCGGACCGATTTAAATTCTTCCCAGATCTGTATACTAAGTTTACATCATTTTAAATCAACGTTCTTAAATGGATCTGCAGATCAATAATGAACATTGTACAGTGAATAATATGAATTCAAATACTAAAAATGATAATATATTTACTTACTCCACTAAGACTATTTGAACTCATTTCCTCGGCGGAAAGTGTCATAACTCTAGCAGAAATTGATGCAGCTGCAAACGCGACAGCCGAAGTAGATATTGGGTTAGTTGAAATGGTATTTAAACCTTTGTTTGCATTAAGTTCAAATGGGAGAGGGACTCCTTTGGGAGTAATTGCGCGTCCGACACGAAGTTGTTGTCCTGCCAGGTCGAAACAATTCATGCTTGAAACAGCCGCAATAGCAGCTTCTTCTGATTCGAAATCAATGTAACCGAACCCCCGATGTCGACCAGAACATTTAGGATCTGGATACAAGCTGATCGAATAGCGTAGGCAAGAAGTTGCGGAAAATTAACGTCACCAGAATTCTTAACCAGATGGTAGACAGCACCTAATGGCTTGACTATCATAAATTAAAACACGCAGTACGAAAAAGTGCTGGGTTGAAACGATTTTTTCTATTACAGTAAGATGTACACCATAAAGTGTAGGTATAGGTGCTTCAGACCTTATATACATATACACTTCAGAATAACTAACTACCTGGTGTTAAATACTTATAAGTTGAAATTTAACGAGAAAGAGCCAGGTTGCGTCTTACTTAGGAACTTGACTTTTGTTGTGAAAGGTTATAAGTTGAAATGGTGGAGAAAATTTGTAGCTCACATGGATGATTGCGATGGGGTTTCTTTCTCTGAACTGGATGTTTTGGTTGTGGAGCTTTCATTGCTCTTCTAAACAACAAACTTCAGATAGAAGTAAAGTATTCCAATTTTTCTGCATATGACTCCTGAAAGTTTGTGCTGATGATGTTGTTCAAAAAAACAATGAAAGCCCCACAACTAAAACATCGAGCTCAGAGAACGAAACTCCATCACGAAGTTTATAAGTAGCAACGCGAAACTGATCAATTTAAAGATGGAAAAAGACGTTTATCAAACAAGTAATTGACTAGCAAATATACCACGTCAAATATGTTAATTACTACAGAATCCGGAAAGACAACTGGAATGAAAAATATGTTCACAGAACTAGGGAAAATGGCAGAGTGTAAAGATATCTGAACAAAAAGCTAAAAAGCAGTAGATAGACAGTTTAGTAACATCCAAAGTGTGAATTTATTGTAAGGTAACATTTCGAATGAAAAAGATCGTTACTTTTGCAATTCACCATGGTTGAATATTTAACATAGGTTACTAACTAATAAAGTATGACGGGTATTGGATACATATTTGAAAACAAAGAGAATTTAACTTCTTACAAGCAGAGTGGTGGCTTATCAGTTAAAACAAAACTCGACTTTCAGTGAATAAGAACTAGGTTTGAACCCATTTGACTGCCTTAATTTGGGTAGTATATAATTATTGCTAGCCGTCAGACAGTGTAGCTTGAGTCGGATTCACACGATTGGTTGCTACGTTGAACTAAGTCATTAGTTAATTTCATCCAAATATATTGAAGCAATAAGTGCGCACTTGTTTAGTGAAATTAGTTCCCCTTGAGTTTTTAGGATAATGACAACCCCTAAATGTACTACAGGGAGTTTTTAATCTATCATTACGTTGAACCTAGTTTGTGGATGGCATTAATGTTAGGTATGATGGAAGGACCGGTCGATCAATGGAATAAAACCAAAAGGAAATTCGCCTAAAATCAAATACAGCTGAGTTTTAATTACTTTTACGTGACATGATTTCCTACCTGCTCCAATCAAATAAGGCCAAATACATTGACAGAAGAGTGAATAACCATTATGTTTGAATGATGCGATACGGATACCGTACTAAAAGTTGGAAGTTACACGAGATGGTATGCTGATTTAACGAGAAATTCCCACAGAATACACGATGTAGAGCACATTCAATGATTGAAAAACCTTTAATATGTGCATACAGTGGCGTGAAGTTAACGTACCAAAGCTTAAAGCAATAGACTTATTTATGAACAGTGGGGTCTTGAAAGAGTATTAACGTGTATTAACATAAAACTAACAACCAGACAGGTTTGAGTTACACTACATTTAAAGAGAGATGTTTATAAAGTTAACCACCTTGGCAGGACAGCTAGTTTGAAGACAGCCAAAGTCAACTATACAGATGTAATTTCAAAAACTAGTAGTTGTGAGTGCAAAATCCCAATGTAAATGAATCTAATTTACTTTTTTCTCGCATAGAATAAATCAAATTTAAGACTTGAATATTTAAGATACACATCAAATCTCAAAATACTTCCGAGTTTTATAGGAATGAGTCGTCGCTTTAGACTAACTAACTAGTCTGGAGAACTAAAAAAGCCTAAAAGAGAAGTCAATTATTTATTTAAACTGGAAATCAAAACGTGTAAACTATTGGGATAAACCGTACAACTAAAAAGCAGTTTATTAAAGATCACTCTTAAATCAACTTATGAATAAAATATAGTACCAAAGTTAAACATCTCCAAGTTATCAGTTTGTTGCCCTATCACTGTGGCTAGGAACGCAAGTCTTTATTGAGATCTGAATGTCCTAAAAACGTCTCACCTTACTGTTATATCAATGAGAAGCGATCGTCTAATTACTTTACACCAAACCACACCTTCAAATCTACCGGCATAAGTGGAAGTGTGGAGAGTCAACTCTTCTTGAAAAGCACTCATTTGACTACGCACTAACACCCACTGCCTGGTAAGTTTTACTCACAGCTTCATATCAGGGTTGTTTATGAAATTGGGGGGATAGAAAGTGAATGTTTGGTACGAAAACTGGGTTGGTAATTATTAAGGATCTACAAGGTAGTCAGAAAACCTTGACTCCACACTAATGGTGCATATGGGCTTCAGGATACTATGGGACTAAATGGTGTATGAATCTATTTTTGGTCATCTGCAACCATGTGGCAGCATCTAACGTTGCTCGGTTGTTTTGTGGATCAGACCGCTGGGTTACCTACTTCAGTTTGGACATCTGGGCAGTATCCCAGCCTACACACAAATTCAATAATTTGTGTGATTTATATTGACACCACCGTATCAGTGTTTTCGGTGAGATAACAATAATACCCACGGCCTCTCTCCCAATACTAATCATATGAGTGGTAATCATAGACAGTGTAGGATTTGGAACGAACGTGTGACGGTGAAAGATGCTGCATCTCTTAACAAGAAATCAACAAATTAAGAGCAAAATATCAACATTAACACTAGCACAGAGCTGTTATTCTGGATCTAACTGTTCCAAAACACATTAAACCAATATCGCGAATTCAATAACATATACACAAGGTAATACTGCAGTACAGTGTGAACAGTCAGTTTTAGTTTACCTGCAGCTATTTACTTTTCCAAATGCCTCGAATACAGTTTGAATATCGGACTCCGTTAACTCTGGATGGACTGAAGCAATGTATACACGAGGTTTAGTACTGACTTCGGCACGTAGTTCGGCTTCTAAGGCAGCAGTCTGAGGAGCATTGCTTGGTCGCCCGACCTGTGATGCATGACAGTGGGTTAGAAAAGAAAATAAGTGTTTAAGTAGACAATCGTGAGATCTGCTAAAATTCGTAAAAAAAACACATTTAACCTAGCTATCTGAAGTAAAGAGAATACACGTTAACAGATTTAAATCTTTTAAAAACCTGGACAACTTAAAATACAGAACCTGGAACTAGTCATACGTTGACAATCCGGTATGAAACCAGCTAAAAACTTGTAGATATAGGTCACGAGACTAGTACAAACGCTAACTCGATGATGCGAAGCTGTAGAAGTGGAAATTTTAAAATGCTAGTCTGATAATTGAATCATATTACTTTTTTCCACAGCAAATTCAACAAATCCAGACCATACTAAGGCTTAAAGTCACAGAATATGAACAAGAAATAAACATCATTATTGCTCATATAATACAAACCTTTAGGTTCCTGCCAGCTAAAGTGTACCCATTCATTTGATCCAATGCCAAGGAAGCTGCTTCTGGGACCTCGAATTCAACAAAAGCAAACCCTTTGTGCTTTTGGAGAACCGTATCCCAGCTAAGAGCGACAGACTTGATCGGTCCAAAGGGTGAAAACGTTTTTCTAATTTCTTCTTCTCCGATTTCAAAACTGATTGACCCAACATATATTCGACTCAAAAGAATGAGTGCCTGATTTCTTTTAATTGTGTTTAAGTCCTTGAAGGTGAGGAAAATTTTGACTAATAGGTACCTGTTGATGCAACTGTGCTGCTTGCTTGCTGAGTGCATTTTGAATACTTTGCTCTAAAGCATACTTCTTTGCCCTTTCAATGGCGAAACGCTGATCATCCGTCAAAGTTAACAAAGTGAAAGGTTCTTGTTTAATATTAGTTCCAAAGTGAATAGAATCTCCCATCGGCATAAGACTAATTATGCCACCAGACTTCCGTAATGCAGCCGCTACACTCAAATCTACGTTAATCATATTGTTGAATGAAAATACAATATACGCGCCTGTGAGTCAAAGGGTAGGATTTCCAATATCCAATATCTTTTTCACAAGCTTGTCTAAACCAATTGATTTTTTGCGCTCCATCCTTTTTATTTCGGTGCAGTTCCAGGTGTTTGGTAGTGTTCAAAGGATTAGGGTCCAGCCACAACGAATGCAATAACTATGGTCATATGACAGCTGTTTGTGAGTTTGTATGTCCTTTGCTTTGAATGAATACTTTTATTTAGGGGCAGTAGGGTTTCTTGAATCTAATAGTTACCACGTTAATAGGCTGGTTTTAAATGTTCGAGCTATTAATCTTCGGTCTCTCTTCCTATATTCTCTGATCCCGAAGCTTGTAGGATTATTAATTATTGTTTATCATTATTATTATTGAAAGTAAGTGTATTTTGTGCCTTTGTTGGGTCATCGTATCACCTTTTCTTTAGTTTTTCTCTTTTTCAGTTCACAAGGTACTTCCTGGCTAGAAGCGAATCGTTACATCAATAATAATCCAACGAACCATCGCTTTATATACCTTTGTGCTTGCTCCGAATGCTTCATGTTTGTAACGCGGTGGGTGAAACTGTGATGTGATCGGTGAATGTGGTTCTTGGTCGGTGTTTGGAATAATTCAGAAGTATGTACACCTGATTGCTTTTGAAAGAATTAAACAGCAATGTGCATTTAAAATGCATCTCCCAGGCAGTTGCTGCTAGTATCCTGCCCTCTCTCACTCGCCACCAAAGTTTTGGGGAGTCAGTGACAGCAGAACGTAATATCAACTTTTCTATATTCCTTGAATCACACTGACATCATTTGGCACTCCCAAAAAGACTGGATCTCAAACCTTTGTCTTCTGTCCATTATTCAGGCGGTACAAAGTCTTTATGGTTCTCACAGTTTAATTTCATCTACATTGCTAAGGACTACCAAACTCATTTTCTAGGTGGCTGTTGATAAATACAGCTAACACCAGAACACACATCACGGTACTGGTCGATATGATGGAGTATAACACAATATCGAACTCTATGACCGGGAACAATAGTAATAATACGTTTACGGACACTCAGCGAAGTTGCAGAGCATACTCCATCTGAAACCCAGTTATCGTTCATGGGAGGATTCGATTTTTCCACCAGGTTTTCCGTACTTCTGGATTACTAGAAACAGAGTTGCGTCACTGCAGCAGCTCCAATTCTTTTCGCACCAACTTTATAGGTCGGTAAGAGGATTTCTGACTTTCTCACACTGGATAACTGCAAAGAGTCTAGAGCCTGCTGAAATAAAAGACAAACATGGCGGTAAACGTTCGTCGTTTTATGAGATGGCTTGATTTAAAATGTTAAGTGTAGTTCTCCATTGATCGTAACTTTGTCGTCTCACTCATTCTTACGGTGAGAGATGGCAATAAAAGTGCTCTCTCATTACCGAAACTCCTGGGTAAAGTACTCAAGTCTTTGGCAATATCAAGGCTAATATTTAAGAAGTAGAATGGGCGCTGAAAAGTGAAGTGAGGAGAAAAGAGCGAGGAGCAGGACAGAAAATCTTCATATTTAAAGCTGAGTCATGACCCAGCAGATAATATTTTCAGATAAAACAAAGGTATTATCACTCAGACCTTTTGTTTTCCGTATTAGAACACTAACTGTACACCTGCACTTATGTAGGCTAATGAAGACAGGTCACTAGTAGGATAGCGAAAGGGCAAATAATCTTAGAAGTGCAGGAGGTTAAAAAGAATTAAATTGTTGGAAGTTGTTTTTCTACAGAATATAATAAGGAAGGCATAGAGAGTTCATGATTTGGTTATATTTCATTCAATTTTTAACGCTGTAATTCAAGAAGTTACGAGTGAGCTCTTTCCCAACATGGTTGTCAAGATCAGCTTCTAACGAGATTCCTCGGTGGGAAGTGAAACCAGCTCGAGGTTACTAGCATGAGTAATAGATGTGGTTGTTTCGGAAAATTTACATCAATATCATCGATTAGTTACATCCTGCTATATCGTAAGGATCCGTAAGCAAACAAATTGTCAACAACAAACAATAAATTCCCTTTGTAAAATATTTAAGTTGTTTAGACAACCTACAGTTTTTACATCATTTACATCTATAATCTTGACCAAGTTTAACTGTAGAGAGGTTTGGTGTAAAACTAGGAACTATATTAAAGAATATGCGTTTCGTAAAGTTTGGAATCTGTATCATAAATCATAATTCTTATGACAGCATGTTTATTTTACTACTGTTCGTCAAGTGAGAAAAAAGTGGATGCGCAAAGCAACTTCATCATAGCTGAAAGCTTGGTTTATTCAGATATTATTTGCGAGAGATTCTCATCTTTCCGTACTTTATAATTTCTACGCATTATCTAAAAATAACTGAGCGGCATTAGATAAAACAGTGTTGAGTTTATGTCGATATCTGTTCATAGAAGTATAACTATCAAGACCAACTGCTACCGTTGATTGTAAAAAATGAAAGTACTGCGGAATATAGAAAAGAAGTGCTATTTAGTCATCGATTTACCTGACTCCAGTAGGAACATCTATAATTGTAGCAACTGCATAGGCATCCAAACATAACTGAAAAATATTCCAAAAATGACTATATGGTAAGTTAAAGACTAAAGTCTTCAGCTCATTTAATGCTTCCCTAATACTTCTCATCATTTTAACTCAGGGTTAGTTATTTAATGATCTCGATCAGTCAACATGGAATCGTGGCTATGCAATGAATGAAAGTGACTATGGCCAAACGTCCCATCTTGTCAGCAGTAACACTATGAAACTAATATTGATGACATGTGCTAGGTCATTGGTGATTTTTTGCCGTTAACGCTGCTGCCAAACGACAAGTAAATGACAGATATTTGAAAGATTTACTTTTCAAAAGCAGTCTCCAGGAGTCTTTCTAAATAGAGAGAGCATGTATAGTTTTGTACAGATTTAGGTTTATAGTAAAAAAGGTTTTGTTTGTTTCCACAAATTGATTTCGGCACAGGCAGTTGTGCCAACAACACAGAAGTGCTTCTTGACTCGGGGAATAAATGTTGTGTAAGCCACTGACTGTATATTACCTACTTTTAGAGCCCAGTGACAAGTTGTATTTGTGCGTTGACGAGCTAGGCTTTCGAGTCCTTTAACTTCTTAGTTTGGTATTAAAGGCGCAACTACTTTCAGTATGTACATTTGTGATTTCTAACGTCTCTCGGAATGAGCTGTCATTTTTCTAGAAACTGAATAAACTTTCTTCCGACAACTTTTCACAAAATGTTTACCAGGAAACGTTTACCTTCGTTACTATGTTAATAATAGTAATTTACTCGCAAATAACAACATGTTACATGAGGCATGCCAATTTACAGGCAAGATCAAAATGTTAAGATCGCTAACATATTTTTGTAAAACGTTGTCCAGTTACTGAAATACTGTACAAGATACATTGGCTTCATATAGATATCTAAGATTTTCCACATAAAATGATTGATAATTTTCCAAACTCTGCAGTGTACAGTGCGAATAATTGGCGCGAGTTACGCCAGTTGTGTTACGACGAACTGCTAGTGACTGCGAAACAATGCAATGTAGAGCCAGGTCTACACATAACAAGAACTGACGAGGTAAATGTGACAAGATTTTGTTTATATTCTTCAGATAATGAATTTACAGGCTCCTGGGTAGAGTAACCTAGTCTTCGGCAAATATCCAGACTAAAATATAAGTATTGGAATGTGGTTCTGATAAAGAGAAATAAAGAGAACGGGGCGAGGAGCAAAACATCAATATCACTGAATAGTTACATCCTGCTATATCGTAAGATGCCTTAAGCAAACAAAATGTTCTATCCCACATGTTGGACACTAGTTTCATAAATTGCGCTTAGCATACTTACTCATAAAGGGATTTTAACTAAAATATGTCTACTTGATCCTCTTGTTCACGTGTAGTTGATAGAAACTTCTGAAAGTAAAATGTTGGTCCAGGAATGAAGATGGATGTGCTAAAATTTTGTCTGAACTGCAACACGACAAATTTTTTCAGCTACTGCTGTAAAATGAATTAGCTCTTATGGCTTCTGTAAGGCCATCTGATACGTCATATATAATCCAGAAGGCATAGAGTTTGGAAAAATTAGGGATGGGATCTTCCAGGTATAACTGTGTCGGACGGCATAGTTACACATTTTTGAAACCATGAATCGATCAATGTTAGATCACCATTAGAAACCTGGAAGCACTGGACGGCGGTTTCGTCCTGGTATGGGACTCCTCAGACCTTCTTTATATTGGAACACTAACTATACACCTGCACTTATGTAGATTAATGAAGACAAACTCTGGAAGGGTAAGAATGATAATACAAAGTTTCTCCTTCAATACCTAATTAAACAGATACCGAACCTTGTTTATATAGATTCACTGATAATCGCAGTGATTTTAAATATGTTTGAAAAATTACCTGAGCAGAGAAAATAACGGATGATACTCTGGGACTGGGTTATGGGTTTAGAACAATGGAGGTTCATCGGGAGTCTACTGAACAAGTTCAGATATAAAATGAAGAGATGCCAATGTGGGTTCGTTTAAATTTTAAGGAATCTATATAATATTTTCCTTATTGAGAGAGTTTTGGGAAGATATGATCGAGTAACCGTAAGCGGGTGCCGAGGAGTAAGGAATACCATTCATAAAACGGTGAATAAAGACGAGGTTTAGTTTAATGCATCTGATCCAATCAGGTTCTAAGTTAAGTTCTTAACATCTTTCGTGATAATCCTCATTATAGAAATCTTCTAAAGAAACTTCCGTAAATATTGTTTGAATGCCTTCAAGTTTCATCAAATCGTTGTCCATGTAATTGCTTCAGTCTAGAATACCATATTCAAGATCGAGTATAGTACATATTTTATATAGTAGTGATTTGGACTATGATTTATGGGCTTTTATTACTGTGGATTCATTGAACGCTTTTTAATTTGGATACTTGACATGTAATAAGCTCAGAAAAGTTCTGATTGTTTCTATACTTT